TAGTTTAGTTGCTTGATTCACCCTCTGACCGTGGCCCGACATACACACCCAGGTCCTTTTCACATTCAGTCTCTATTAATGCAGTTTCTTCATCCTGTTGGGACATGTGATACGCCTCCTTACTGTTGGTACGTCCCAGGTGCATCCTCTCGCTCTTCATGACATTGAATCTTAGCAGCCATTTCCTCGACCATTTTTGAAGCTGATAGAGATCTTTCTGTAGCTCTTCACAGAACAGAACAGCCTAGTCCCAACCATTGTAAAAATTATCAATAACTTGTAATAAACCAGTGTATTCACTCCCAGTAAACACTACTCCTTGCACTGTCACTATGTTGAAATGAACTGTAGTTTGAGCTTCTCCCCACCTAGTTATTATATATCATATTTGTATCACTTATGTTACTTGTATATTATTTGTAAATCAAGAGACCCATTCCCCTTCCGGCTGCCATGCTCTTTCAATAAACCGTTAATTATTATTATTTTTTTATCACACACACACACACACACACACAGTAATGTAATGACATCTTTGCTATTTGTCCCTGAATCTAGTGGGTGACAGAAGCTATTTTAAGTCAATTATTATTGAGCTAACTGGTCACCTGGAAGTGCACCTACCATTAAATTATATGAGCTTCTGTTGAAGGAAAGAGAGGTGGTGTTTAGTGGTTAAGTTATTTCATTATGATGTGACTAATGACAAGATATATGTGCTGTTGACACCTATCATAGAATTGAAGAAGGTATTGTACAGAATATAATTAATACAGCTCAAGTGACATCGACTGAGATGGTCTTACCTTGTTCAGCCTGCCTTTGACAATACTTCGTGTCATCTGACTGAGCATTTTCCCACTCAAGAATCATGGAATTCTCGACTATTTTAAATATTTCATCCACAGTAAGGTCATCATTCTGGGACGACAGCAACTCAACACTCTTGTCCACTACGCCTGGTAAGGGAGATGGATGAACATTTAACTCTTGTGTGCCCATTACAGAAGGTATATTGCACACTTTAGTTCTGGTGCTTTAAATTCCAGAAGCCTCTCATCTGGTAACCCCCGGATCTCAAGCATGCTGGATGAATGGTCCCACACCTATACGAACATCACACAACACTATACAGTATGATGCCTCCCTTAGAAAAATTAAACATAATTCCTCACCAAGGCTGCACAAAGACTGAGGTTCTGCAGACAAATTCACATTAACGTCTTCCCCCGGCTGGACCCTTGAGTGCGACCATGCTAGGTCAACTTTGTTGTTATAACACTTGTGTATTTCCAGCTCCTTAACATCAGACACCACCTCACCGTCGTGACGGATGTACCACACCACCACCTGTGACAAGGATACAGTAAAATTAGTATTATCAAGTTGAATTATCAATAACAATTGCTTTAATTTATAAGAGTAACTAATAAGATTCCACCAATGACAGTGTCCACCTTCAGAAATTTGATACTGTACAGTGTGTCTGGCAGCAGATCACATCACTTTATGGATCACTGTAAACTATGACAGTTCCTAACCTGCTCAACGGTTTACTTCTCAAATGAACACAACTTTCCATCTAACTGAGGTCCATAGAGTACAGTACATACTGTCTACCCTAATATGCATTGTAGGATGGATTTTCAATTTAGAAACAACCAATACCTGTTTTACTCTACACCATTAACTCTGAACCTTTCACTACTTTTACAACTGCCTCTTCGCTCCTTTCACAAACACCAATACTGTATCATCGTCCTACCAACTATTTAATATTACCAACAACTCAACAACTCAATAAAAATTCAGTTGGAGATAATATCACAGAACCTTGTCTATATAACTCCGTGTCTGCTCCTTAATATCTCCAACTAAAGTGTGGCCGTCTGTTACTCTTCCCTCCACTCATTGGTCACCCCCCCCCCCATACAGTATATCGTAATGAGGTAAAGTGTGTTCAAGTGTGGACCTCAATCTTAAATATGTAGTTGTTTTGTTACAACCTGCTGCAGCCAGTCACTCTGCTTGTAAACAGTTTTGTTACAACCTACTGCAGCCAGTCACTCTGCTTGTAAACAGTTTTGTTACAACCCACTACAGCCAGTCACTCTGCTTGTAAACAGTTTTTTTACAACCTGCTACAGCCAGTCAATCTGCTTGTAAACAGTTTTGTTACAACCTACTGCAGCCAGTCAATCTGCTTGTAAACAGTTTTGTTACAACCTGCTGCAGCCAGGCACTCTGCTTGTAAACAGTTTTTTTACAACCTGCTGCAGCCAGTCAATCTGCTTGTAAACAGTTTTGTTACAACCTACTGCAGCCAGTCAATCTGCTTGTAAACAGTTTTGTTACAACCTGCTGCAGCCAGGCACTCTGCTTGTAAACAGTTTTGTTTCAACCTGCTGCAGCCAGTCAATCTGCTTGTAAACAGTTTTGTTACAACCTACTGCAGCCAGTCAATCTGCTTGTAAACAGTTTTGTTACAACCTGCTGCAGCCAGGCACTCTGCTTGTAAACAGTTTTGTTTCAACCTACTGCAGCCAGTCAATCTGCTTGTAAACAGTTTTGTTACAGCCTGCTGCAGCCTTCGAAAAGACAAGCAAAATGCAATACTGTATCTTAAAAGAATTGCATATAGCATTCATGACTCATAAAGAACAATGCACAGTACTTTACCTGATTGAAAACAAAAGTGGATCCCACAGGCATGATTGCCTGTTAAAGGCATTGTGGATACAGCACAGTGTGTACTGAGCTTTGATACAGAGAAAGGTGCTGTCACCGTCACTGTAAAGTTAAGCACTAATATTCAGCTGGGTGGACTATGACTAGTTGAGGAGGTGAATGATGGCCAAGACAAAAGTCCTCTACCTTTGAGGAAACTCTTTCGGGTAACAACAAAAATTTTAATATTTTAAGGCATAGCAGAACCACCATTTATTTTCACATACCTTTGCTAGGGGTGAGACTGTGGGTAAAATACTGATAGGTATTTCAATAAATCCTCTGACAATGTTACTGGGAGGTGGCGGCAAAGGTTCTACCAACCGACCTTCATCAAGAGGCAAGGAAGTCATAAGAAGCTCATACTCTTTTGTGTTGGAATACTGGATCTGTCCTCGTGACACAACCTGCAGTAAAAAAGATCATGTTTAAAATGGGTATTAGTATATATATATATATATATATATATATATATATATATATATATATATATATATATATATATATATATATATATATATATATATATATATATATATATATATATATATATATATATATAATACTGTTAAAAGAAATAATTGTCCTAAGGGCAAACACATAAATGGAATATACATTTCTTTGTACATACGTTAAAATGTACCCCCGGCCAGCAAATGTTATTCGCAGATTTGGCGATTCGCGGCCATTTTGAGAACCAAACCCTTGCTGACAGTGTATCATGTGCTTAATGATGGAGCAGCCTCTCAGGGTGCTTCCCCTGAGATCAGGCCAGATTGTAAAACTCTCATCTGGTACCCTCTGTTCTGCCAGCCAGCATGACAACCCATAAATGCAGCAGAGACCAAAGAATAAGACAGCTCTGGTGATACCAGTGGCCAACAGTCATATTTGAAGTGAATTTCACAGCTGGATGCCCTTCCTGTTGCTAACTCACTGGACTGTATGTAAAGGACTTCCAAGCTGGCAAGACAGGGTCACAACTCCTTGGTGTAATGAAATATTACCGAAGGTATTAAATATCATTGTAGTCAACCAAGGAGGAGACTGAGGTGTACAATAGCTGGCGCTGGACCTTTTCAGTTTAGTTTACCTGAGGGATAACCTTGACTTCTACCTTCACTTGAGGATGATTATTGCAGTAAAGGAGATCTAACTAGCCCCAGGACTTATGTCGGGTTTCCTGGTCTAGTCCAATGAGCTGCCTACTCAACAGTGGGTAACCATAAACTCATTTTGATATATTTCTAAAAATTATAAACTTTATTTTCCCTAATATTATTTCACAAAATAAATTACTGTTAAACTTGAATACCTCCCTGATTTTTCTTAAGTTACCAAAGAAAAAACAGTCACATAGATAAACAAATAATGTGGAATGTCTTAAAATAGGAGAAATAACACAATCTTAAATCAGCCAATAGCTATTAGACATCTCTAAAAAAAATTACCAAAATCATCTTCCAACAAATTCATACCTGAACTGTAACATTGGCTCTGGCCTGATTGACTGCAGCATACAACACTTGGATCACATGCTCTCTTGAGTCCCCTGTTTGACATGCTAAATGGCCCGCAGGAGCATAGATGATGAGGGAGGATTGTGATGGGGAGAAGTAGCTCTTCATATTGTCCACGCTGTATATGTATTTAGATTCAGACATGATATCTCTGTATCGGTATAAAGGTGACTCGACGTAGTCAAAGGATCTCAGTGCTGGCATTCTGATGGCCTGGTACCTATTAGATTTAATCTGAAAATCGAGAAATAAAAAAGCATCTATTAATGGCAAGTCTAAATGTTTAAAAATATAAAGATCTATTAAACAGGATTTGTATATGCTTGGTATAAATAAACTCAAAGCTAAAATTGTCACTTAAATTAGCACTAAACATTTATATTCTAACCAGAACTCTTAAAATATATACAAAAAACTTTACATCAGATTAACATAGTATATTACAGCATCTGTTAAGCAGGGACTCTAAGAGCTTATAACAAGAATGGAAGGAAAATGTCTTATTAAGAGAAGGCAGCTTATATTAAATGTTCTCTTCTAAATGTGTGAGTGAGTAATAATGGCGCCCATCAGAGGTGTAGACTGACTGTTAAGGCCACAAGGAGTTCTTATTGTGTTTACTGCACAGGTTGTATTTATTACCATATTTTATGACCTGTAAGATACATTTTTTGTCGGAAAATGACAAAAATATCAGTCTGCATTATACGTACAGTGAAGTTACAGCCTCCCATACACACGTAAATCCTCCACGTGGTGTCTCTAGTAAGCTAAATTCTACCTCGCCCAACTCCAGAATTAATTTGTTAATACTTATTTAAACACATTATACAGTAATTACTTTTAATTAAATAAGAAAAATTATTGTAAATATGAAAGCTGTATTTATAACTACAGATGATGATAATATGAGACGATTTGCATCTGTACAGCAGACACCCAACTCTTCAGAGCCAACAGTAACCATTCCTGAACTCTTACAAATGTTTCTACTGTACTGCTATCTATTAATGTCATACCTGCAACCTTTATCTTTACACGTACAAATATCTGATACAAATGAAGATTTACAGATAATTCTCTTTCCACGATTACGTCTGTTAACAACAGTGGTGGCATTGTTGCCAAGTTAGACTCATCCCTTTTGCCACATCCACCTACCACTCTCACTACCTGGCCAAGCTGTGAGGTGTTATGGTTATCTTTTAACTCATAATTTTGGGTAGATAGTATACATAAATTTCTACATTTTATATCCATTTATATGCACACACAATTCTATATACCTGTACATACAGTGCAAAAAAAAGGAAATAAACTTTTCTTTACTCATTAGAGCTAGCAGGCTAAGGGGGGGTAATAGGAGAGAGTGGGGTGTGTGGGGGGCCCGTTACTAGGGAGACAGCAGAGGTAACATTCCAGCTGGGCTGCGTTGCTCTGACAAAGGTTGAGGCCAAGCAGCCAACATCTATGCAAATGGCAGTTGCATTAAACTTTCATTTGGCTTTTACTTAATAGTTTTAGCTACCTTATTTCCATGTAGATAGACTGTATGCAAATGTTGCTTGAAGGAGCACAATTGTTAAATAACACAAGAAAACTACATGTTGTGGTATGTCTTATGAATGCTGGGAAAGGAGGTACCGGGAGTAGAATTTGCTTCAGCCTTTTGACTTTCCATGCAGGCTGTTACTTTACACCTCTGATAATATTCCTTGTGTGTTCTATATTTCTTTTTCAGTATATTATATATTAGTTTTGTATTTGTGATCATAACACAAGACTCAACACTATAGCTACACCCCTTAGCCCTCACCTTACTGCTCCAGGCCAAGCTGTGAGTTATCTCATGGTTATTTCCCCACTTGTGCATCTTATATGGCCGTGCATCTTATATGGCCGTGAGTCCTATATGGCCGTGCGTCTTATATGGCCGTGATATTATAAGTGCCTTATATGGCCATCTTATATGGCCGTGCGTCTATATGGCCGTCTTATATGGTCATCTTATATGGTCTTATATGGTCAGGCGCTCTATATGTGCGTCTTATATGGCGTATAGGCCTTATATGGCGTCTCGGCCGTGCGGTTCTTATATGGCCGTCGCTCATATATGCGTCTTACTCGTGCGTCTTATATGGCCGTCATCTTATAGCGCGCGTCTTATATGGCCGTTATATGGCCGTCTATATAGTCCTATATGGCCGTTATATGGCCGTGCATCTTATATGGCCGTCCTATATGGCCGTGCGTCTTATATGGCCGTGAGTCCTATATGGCCGTGCGTCTTATATGGCCGTGCGTCTTATATGGCCGTGCGTCTTATATGGCCGTGAGTCCTATATGGCCGTGCATCTTATATGGCCGTGCGTCTTATATGGCCGTGCGTCTTACAAGTCATAAAATACATTAATTTGTTAATAGTACAGTACTGTAACACACATACAGTATATCAATCACTGCTGCTATAACACTGTAACACAAAAGACTCTCAACTAACACAAAAGACTCTCAACTATATTTATCATTTAACACCACTTATCAGCTTACTGGCCATTCGGACGGTTGGTCTATCCAGTGTTAGAGGAAACCTGTAGTGAGGGTCACACTGGGGAACACCCTCCTCATATGTGGCCGGCCCAGGCAGGACTTAACTCTCGACATATTAGTGAGAGACTTACACGTTACCGCTAACGGGTCTAATATCCTGAATGATAAACAGTGTGGTGTAAGATGCTCGGCTATGGACGTTCATCACCTATTAAAGAATAAGGTACAGTACAGGCAACCCTCTTTATCATAATGGGTTAGGTTCCTTGACAGTCATTCAAATCTTGAATATTTGGATAGTGATTATAATAAATGGGAAAAATAGGATTCAGTTCCCAAGTAACAAAAATGCCAAATATTTTTTACTTTTGTCGTGAAGTTTACTGTGTTTTAGTGTAGTATTCTGGTGGTGTACACAATGATCAATAATATACAACCAATAAGAAATCTCAACTTATCCAATTACTTCAAAAACATTGTTTATACAGTTGGACATAAGATGTAGACTCACCACAACAGTATCAGCTGTAGAGGTAATGAATTCCAGGATACCATCTGAAGGTGTAAGGATGGTTTTGCACGTTGTAGAAACACAAACTGTCATTGGTTCACCTCCAGCAGGAGAACCATCAGGAAAAGTTGCTTTAACCTGCCAGAAGATGAAGCAGTTCTAAATTCAGTAGAAGAAGTACATGTAAATAGTGTATACTGTATATGTATTTGAAAATAGTGACAAGTTTTTGCTGACTAAATATTCCTACTGTTCAGTATTTTATAGTTCTTTTGAGGACAATAGAAATATTTTGTGTTTTGTAATATTTATAAGATAGAAATATGATATAAATGTGACTTCAAGTAAGAACTGTGTGTTGCAAGTGTGTCAACATCACTTTGCTCTCACTATGGGGCTGTGCGCAGTAGCTTCAAACAAGACACCTTTCGTTACTCCACACTGTCCATCAACATTCCAGACAACTTTTCAATTATTCTTCAATGAAAGTATAATGTAAGTACATACTTATTAACCCATTTATATGGTGACAATGGATCTGTAAAAAAAAAGTGATTTTTACCTAAATATGCCCGTGTGGGGGTTCAGCGGGTCTTACAACACCCAGGGTCTAGGGGTTAAAGAAATCAAAGTTGTCATTCAAGAAACAAAATATAACCAGACCAAGATCCACTGTGAACCAGTGGTAGTAGGCAGCTACCAAACAGGGAGGTACTACCGCCTGGGAAGATATTGGAAGCATAATGTGTTGTCTCATGGTAGACTCTGCTGCCATTTGGCATCACGAAAATTGTGACCAAGTCCCAGGTTGCTGATCTGACTTTCTGTCTCGTTTAGACACAATTGCAGGGTCTCAATTGTTTCTCTTACTTTGACAACACAACATACTGTGCATACACCATTTCTCACTAGTACTCTTTTTTCATTTTTGTATATCTTTATGGTTCTTTATTATTATTATTAGTAGTAGTAGTAGTAGTAGTGATATTATTATTATTGTTATTATTATTTTTTAATTTTGTATTTATTAAAATTTTAATGACTGAACTAATTATTATTATTACATTTTCGCCCCCCAGGCCCCAAAGTGGGTCAGTGACCTGTGCCCAGGTGGGCTAATCTCTGAAAAAAAAAAAAAAAAAAAAAAAGATGACCATCCCACTAATCTCACAGTAGTATGTGAATGAGACGTTGACAGTTTGACTGTAAAGTGTGACTCCCGGCAGGATACACAGATACTGTACAATGCTTAACACACTTCACGTGGTGGAAAAGAGACAAACCAAACACATTATTTTATGCCATGCTATTTTTTGCGACAATCTGTCAGACGAACCAGGATTAAGGTAAGTGGGATTAACTTAATGATTACATTAAGCAAACAGTAATGAGTTGGTTTACAAGAGTGAAATATACTAACTCTTGAACAGGGTTATTTACAAAGCCTCAAGACATAATTACTGAAAACTTATTTTCTTGTTATAAAATAGGAATTGTAAAAATATCCAGTGGGGAGAAGGCAATGGGGAGTTATATTAAATATTCTTAATTATAACATCAAAACCACAGCTACTGTGCAGTACCATATTAAACATCTGTTGTAAAACAAAATAAAGCCAACAAACCCGTCCAGTGAAGGGCAGATTTGGTTTTCTGAATTTCTCTCTTCCAACAGAGGTAAATGTTATTGCCTTGCGGTGAACCACAGCCTCTGTCTCACCACTCATCTCCAGTCCCGTCCCATCTTCCACAACAACTGCTATTAGAACCAACTTGGAGAGCATTACATCATATGGTCCCGGGATTAAGAAACCTGAAAACACCTCAATGCTTTTACAGCCAGGTTTCTGTGAGGAACAAGTTATTATTAGTTACATCATAGTTCAACTTTATTTTTGACACAATGTTAATATACAAAGTTGCGCGTGATCCAGGTATATGCTGATAACCACAAGGAAAGAAGAAAACACGAAGTTCCCAAGCGCTTTCGTGTAATTCACATCTTCAGGGGTGAGTACAGACTGTACTCACCCCTGATGATGTGAATTACACGAAAGCGCTTGGGAACTTCGTGTTTTCTACTTTCCTTGTGGTTATCAGCACATATATATATATATATATATATATATATATATATATATATATATATATATATATATATATATATATATATATATATATATATATATATATATATATATATATATTATATACTGTATATAGTTCCTCATGTAATAAGATTAACATTGGCATTATTCTGGTGGGTGTATCTAATAAGTAAAACAAAAGCTGTAGCTGTAGGAAATATCAAAGTATTCACAGATTACTTCACTCATCTTCTGTTAAATGCCAAGAAATATTTTACTCAAAAAATTATGATGAATATGTTTCATAAATGGGAAAAAGTCTGTGATTGCAAATACAATGTTAACGTTACTTTTGCAAGGGCGGATCCAGTGGGGTACTGGGGTCCTGGGGGTCCCCCCTTTTCATCAGAAAATTCTAATACTTTTTCTTTAATGCAGTACTGTATTATACTCAGGCGTTATTGTATAGTAAAAAGTATTTACCATTGACTTCAGAATATCTCTTAATATCAAGTGCACATGGCTTCAAAATGGCCTCAAAATGGCCATGATATTGGTCAGACTTAAAAAAAAATTCGGGGAGACTTACAGCACCCCCCCTCCCCAAAAAAGCTGGGTGGGCTCGCTGCGCTCGCCATGTTCCCCCACCCACAACTTTTTGGGAGCCCTCTTTTAAGATTCCTGGATCCGCCCCTGTTCTGGGTGAGGTAGGGTATAAATTTCGCTGGGTTGGCCCGCAGAAAAATTCCTAAATCGTAATGCGGCCCATGACTGAGGAAAGTTTGCCCATGCCTGAACTAATGTATTAACATCCAGTAATTTCAGATATAAGGTTAGGCAGGCTGGGCAACACTGTCAAGGGAGCCACTGCAAAATGGAAAAATTCAATTTTTTCCCCATGATATTCTCTGTTATATTTACATAACACTACGAGGAACTCCACCTTTAATACCTGTATATTATCTGGCTATCACCAGGTAATATTCTTCAGCTCAGAGGGGAACCATTACACAAAGATTTAAGGGTTCATCAAATATGGCAGGAAATACAGTACACCCTGCATGTGATTTTTTTTATATACAATACTGTATTATTCACAGAGATAAAGGCAGACAAGAAAACAATACATACCGCCATGAAATCTGATCTTAATTTTAAAACATCTCGTCTTCTATTGTTTTGGGATTTGATGTTTAGAGTCACATTCCCCTTCACAGGTTGACCATACGTGTACCTGAAGAAAAAATCGAGAATACAATTATTCTGCTGCAGAGAAATATTCAGATTACTGTACAATTATCTTACTATTTCTTATGAACAAAGAGTTACATTATCCTGGTCAAATGAGTGGCCAAGGTGATGCTGTTTAGAATACCAAAGTCATGACAAAACATACACTCCATGTTAATATTCTTTCCATTCAAAAATATCTAAAGCAATATTTGTTTCAGGAATTAAATATTATAACATTTCTCTATATCCTAAATACAAACAACACCTCAAGACTCAAACCCAAGGGATGCCACACTTTCTCTTGAACAAAATATCTCTTGAACAAATTTACCTTTCCTTCCATTCCACTGGTCATGTGTGCCAGCTTCTCAGTTACTGTAGTTTGTTGATGTTGAAGAAGAAATAAAGATGGGAACACTACTGTACACCACGGACCCATGCTTCATCAAATTGGTTCCTAATGACCTAAAACTTGACTGACAGATTTTGACCAACATTTAACAGGACTTAGCAGAGAGGTTTTCAAACTTTTTCTCACCAGTACTCCATAAGTTATAAGACCATTACCCCCAATACTAAGACACTGAATATACAGTAGATTGGTACTACATTAACACTAATTCAATATAAAATGGTACAGTACTACACTGGATATTGTAAAATCAGATATAGATCCACACCCATCTCTCAAGTTAACTATGGTGGATTATTTAAATAAAAAAATTATACAGTACAGCAAAATTATTTGTATGGCAGTGTTAAAGCATATTTAGTGCTTGCAGAGAAGCTACTCTCATAATTATTGTAAATACAACATTCAATTTATATGCCTCGTGAATTAAATCTGGTGAAATTAGTATATTCTATATTAATGTTTGCCAGCACCCAATGTACCCCCTGGAAACCCTCCTGCATTCCCTTGGGGGTTTGTAAGCCCCTGATTAAGCCAATCACCTGTGAAAGCTTTGTAGAGTTGTTTATAACTGCCTGCAAGATAACCTAAATCAGCAGAAATCTGTGGCAAGGAATATCTATATCAAGGTTTACAAAGTCTGGTTATACACTTCCCTCACAACCTTTCCTAAAAAAGCAAAAATAAATAAATAAAAAACAATCTTCCTGGTACTGTACTCCTTTTTGGTGTATAAAATGTTGGTGGCAGAGCAGTAATGCATTTATCTCTCACTGCTGTGTCCGAGAACAAAACAGATGCAAGAAGGGTGGTATCCAGTGTGACCCTACCAAGCATGGCAGGGTTCCTTCATGCACAGTACAGTACTCCGGTTTCCTCCTGTACTAACACTAATCAATAAAGATCGTATTTATTTTTTACGGGATTAGGCCACCAGGGCACAGGTCAATGACCCACATCAGGGCCTGGGGGCAAAAATATAACAATAATAATAATAATAATAACAATAATAATAATAATAATAATAATAATAATAATAATAATAATAATAATAATAATAATAATGTGAATAATAATAATAATAATAATAATAATAATAATAATAATAATAAGTAAATAAATTAAAAAAAAGATCAATACTGTACAGTAAATCCTCAATAACTCGACATTTGATAACTCGGAATTTCATATACAGTAACTCAACATAGATATGGTCTCGGAATGTATTAGTAAAACTCGGGCAAGGGCGAGATATATAAAATTATCTTGGAAAATCTCGGCCTATCTGGCCACCTGCATCCCCTACCATGCCTCTGTGTCACCTACCATGCCTCTGTGTCACCTACCATGCCTCTGTGTCACCTACCATGCCTCTGTGTCACCTACCATGCCTCTGTGTCACCTACCATGTATCTGTGTCACCTACCATGTATCTGTGTCACCTACCATGCCTCTGTGTCACCTACCATGCATCTGTGTCACCTACCATGCCTCTGTGTCACCTACCATGTATCTGTGTCACCTACCATGCCTCTGTGTCACCTACCATGCCTCTGTCACCTACCATGCCTCTGTGTCACCTACTATGATGCTTCATTCTTCACCTGCAGTGCTGGTAAGTGTTACTTTTTTACATTTAATAATTACATGTACTACACATAAAGGATCAATAATTTTTTATTGTTGTATTTTTGTAGGAGGGATGAAGTGCCTCAATAAGTCAGAATTTGGGATAACTTGGCAAGGCCAGAGCCCCATATGTGCCGAGTTATTGAGGGCTTACTGTAGTGATGAACAATATACAGTATGTGTCTTGTGTTTTCAAAGTAAGAGAAATAATTGAGACCTTCAATTGTGTGTAAATGAGGCAGAAAGTCAGATCAGCAACCTGGGACTTGGTCACAATTTTCGTGATGCCATATGGCAGCAGGGTCTACCATTAGACAACACATTATGCTTCCAATATCTTCCCAGGCGGTAGTACCTCCCTGTTTGGTAGCTGCCTACTATATATTGTTTAGAAAGACTGGCACAGTACATATATCTACTATATATTGTTTAGAAAGACTGGCACAGTACATATATCTACTATATATTGTTTAGAAAGACTGGCACAGTACATATATCTACTATATATTGTTTAGAAAGACTGGCACAGTACATATATCTACTATATATTGTTTAGAAAGACTGGCACAGTACATATATCTACTATATATTGTTTAGAAAGACACAGTACATATATCTACTATATATTGTTTAGAAAGACTGGCATATATATCTACTATATATTGTTTAGAAAGACTGGCACAGTACATATATCTACTATATATTGTTTAGAAAGACTGGCACAGTACATATATCTACTATATATTGTTTAGAAAGACTGGCACAGTACATATATCTACTATATATTGTTTAGAAAGACTGGCACAGTACATATATCTACTATATATTGTTTAGAAAGACTGGCACAGTACATATATCTACGATACGTATATTGTTTACAAAGACTGGTACAGTATTTACATCAAATGAAGTCAAGCTTAAGTTTAAATCAACACTACAGATTTGCTTAAGGTTAGATGCTCTCCTTATCAGTGTGTTGTAAACTCACTTTGCACAAACAGTGACATTAAACTTCTCGTCTGATCCCAGGATATAACTGGGAGGAGTCACAGTAACTTGGAAGCGGGGCAGTACATAAGCCTCCACCTTGAAGGTTCGAATTACTGGCTTTCCGTTGCCAGGTGGACTTGCATGGATCATGTATGTTCCCTGTTAAGTTAAAAAGTCTTACAAGTTGGATACTGGCATTTACAATTGGTAAAGATGTAGCAAACTGGGCAGCAAAGGGAGATGAAGATACAGGGACACAGTGGTTTAAACAAAGATAAAAACAAGGCAAAAAATATTAGATTCAGACACTGTCCATGTAAAGGTAGACTAGAAGGTCCAGTAAGAGGAGCACAGTAGATCCTGGTGATACTGTAGTAGCATGCTTACCTCTCACTACTGCACCTTGGGTTCAATCCCCGGGTCAGATATAAGAAGGGTGTTATGCAGTGAGACTCTACAACATGGCAGCATTTCTCTGGGTACTGTACTCCAGTTTCCTACTGTAGTAACACTGGACAATGTAGACCAAACTCATCAGGAACAAGGATGGGATTAAACTAACCAGACACTTCTTAAACTCAACAATTAAATGAATTAAGAAATCATTAACAACATTACCTCAATCTTCTAGTACCTGGTTGCTGTTCTAAAGCACTGTGCCATACATATAGTATTTTTCCACTTTCTTAAATGATTCATTATCTACCTTATTTAGCAACGAAATGATGAACACGACAAGCATGTTACTATTATGCCTCCACACATCTCTTATGCTCCTGTACTATACAGTACATCTTGGTAGCATCCAGTATAACATATCGTATATTAGCCCAGTACTCTATGCTATTTTCAATAACAAATTGCAGTTTGTACTCCAATACAGTATTTATTCCTCATCTAGCTGAGTTCCTAACCTAACCTAATGTGCCCTACTTTCATCCTTCAACTTCTAAACATTCCTCCAGCTTGATTTTTGGGATAAGTTTTTTGTACGATAAGCTTTTTGTATCATCATTACCTACAATCTTACCTCTTCGGGCTCATCCGTAAGTCTCAGGGATAAGTGTATAAGTCCGGCACGATTATCTACGTCCGTCCACTGAGCAATACGACTGCCAGAAGGATTTTCCACCCATACATGAGGGTACTGTTTATAATGGAAAATAAAAATTACTGTACACATAACAACAAATAAGTTTTTATTCTTTATTAGGTCAAATAAAGTTATACTGTATATGGATTAATGAGATGAATGTATTAACGTCATATAAGTATAGTAATTTGGTTTCATAAATTTCTCCATCGAAGTTCAGTTATAAACAACAATATTTTATATAGTAGTATTGTACTCATAGTATGTAAAAAATAACAGACTTATGGAACACAGTATAATGTTTTACGTCACAACACACCTTATCGGTGGAAACCTTCAGAAAAGGTCCCATCAGCGTCAGGACTCTGAACTGTACATCCTGTTCTGGTTTATACAGGAACTTGTCGGTCTGGATGAACGTTTTGACAATAGGATTTGCAAATTTTATCTTTTTCTCATAAGAGACATTTTTCCCGCCCAAGTGTCCTGTTATTTTCAGGAAACCACGATTGCGTTTCATGACAGGGACGATCACTCTGTCGCATAGTTCAGTTTTACCTGAAGATCACCACACATATTAATTAGAATACTGTACAACCTTTATTATCTGTACCAATTTATTCCTGTATTGTGTATACTGTAATATATATCATGTATACTGTATTATATAACAAGTACTGTATTATGTATCATGTACTGTATTATGTATCATGTATACTGCATTGTGTGTCATGTACTTTATTGTGTATCATGTACTTTATTATGTATCATGTACTTTATTGCATACCTTCTGTACTTCAGTCTAAAGTCCATGAGTAAAATAAAGCCAATTACTACTATTGGATACAGTACAGTAGAACACTTTACCTGGAGGCAGGCTGATGGTTCTGGTAGGCACAATAGACTTATCACCTCTCTTATTTGTGACACCTGCTGTTATTACATTATCTGGAGAGGTGCTGTTGAAGGTGAACACACACACTTGTACTGTTTCTCCAGGAGTCCACTTACGGGGTGTGGTCACAATGTAGTGGCTGTACCAAAATAAAGACTCATTAAGCCATTGTACCTGGACTGTTAGCAAATGAGAAAATGTTAAAAGATGCAAAAAAACATTAAATAAAAAAATATGCATATATCAATTGTGGTTCATATACAGTAGAAGTCATTTTCTATTTGAGGATTAATCAGTGTGGGCTAGAAACTTTGGGATAAACAGCAAGAATGTCCTCAAGCACTCCTGATTCAATGTAATAATTACATAGTTCATGAAACAATAAGCCAGGTACTTCTTGTCACAAAATTTGTCATATTTACTAATGCTACGACTACCAAGTCTCTCTGACTGTGCTGATAGACTGGCCAATGAGGCATGCAAGAAAAAAAATGTGGACCTTGACCTTGGCCTGTCCAATGCTGTACTTAAAAACATTCAAGTGAGAATCATGAACTGGGTGATATATGGTACTGGGTCACCGCTGCCATCAGTGATTACAGGAGGCAGTCTACACCAGTACATAGTAAGTCTTGTGTGATACTGTTTGTTACCTGCACTAAGTACATTGTATACTGCACTGTCCATGTACATTGTATGCCTGTACAATCTAAGTACATTGCATACCTGCACTGTCTAAGTACATTGTATACCTGCACTGTCACATGCATATATCTATCCAATTTATATCTAGAGGCACTTGAGCACCATATACTGTGCGGTACAGTATAGGAACACAACTATGGAGGTGTGTGTGTGTGTAGCTGTGTGTGTGTGTGTGGGTGTGTGTGAGTGTGTGTGTGTGTGAGTGTGAGTGTGTGTGTGTGAGTGTGTGGGTGTGAGTGTGTGTGTGTGTGTGTGTGTGGCTGTGTGTGTGTGACTGTGTGTGTGTGTGTATGGGGTGTGTGTGGGTGTGTGTGTGTGTGTGTGGTGTGTGTGTGTGTGGTGTGTGTGTGTGTGTGTGTGTGTGTGTGTGTGTGTGTGGGTGTGAGTGTGTGGCAGGTGTGTGTGTGTGTGTGTGTGTGTGTGTGTGTGTGTGTGTGAGTGTGTGGGTGTGGTGTGTGTGTGTGTATTATTGTAGTGTTTAGTGTAAGAAAAGTGTTGTAGTGTGGTGTGAAGGTGTTTAGTGTGAGTGTGAGGGAGTGTTTAGTGTAGTGTGAGGAGTGTTTGAGTGTATGAGAGTGTGAGGGAGTGTTTAGTGTAGTGTGAGGGTGTTTGAACCTTGGTGTGAGGAGTGTTTAGTGTATGGTATGAGGAGTTTTAGTGTAGTGTGAAGGAGTGTTTAGTGTAGTGGGAGGGAGTGTTTAGTGTAGTGTGAGGGAGTGTTTAGTGTAGTGTGAGGGAGTGTTTAGTGTAGTGTGAAGGAGTGTTTAGTGTAGTGTGAGGGAGTTTTTAGTGTAGTGTGTGTGAGTGTTTAGTGTAGTGTGAAGGAGTGTTTAGTGTAGTGTGAGGGAGTGTTTAGTGTAGTGTGAGGGAGTGTTTAGTGTAGTGTGAGGGAGTGTTTAGTGTAGTGTGAGGTGTTTAGTGTGGTGTGAGAGTGTTTGGTGTGAGAGGAGTGTTTAGTGTAGTCGTGAGGGAGTTTTTGGTGTAGTGTGAGAGTGTTTAGTGTGTGGTGTGAGGAGTTTTAGTGTGGTGTGAAGGAGTGTTTAGTGTAGTGTGAGGAGTTTTAGTGTGAGTGTGGGGAGTGTTGTTTGAGTGTAGTGGAGAGTTTTTAGTGTGGTGTGAGAGTGTTTGGTGTGATAGAGTGGTGACAGTGTGAAGGTTTTAGTGTAGTGTGGGGTTTTAGTGTGGTGTGTGTGAGTGTTTAGTGTGGTGTGAGTGTTTAGTGTGTGTGAGAGTGTTTAGTGTAGTGTGAGGAGTGTTTAGTGTAGTGTGAGACAATTATGAAGAGTGTTTATTAATAGTGTGAGGAGTGTTTGTGTAGTGTGAGGGAGTGTTTAAGTGTGGTGTGAGGGTGTTTAGTGTGGTGTGAGGTGTTTAGTGTAGTGTGAGGTGTTGTGTAGTGTGAGGGAGTGTTTAGTGTAGTGTGAGGGAGTGTTTAGTGTAGTGTGAGGGAGTGTTTAGTGTAGTGTGAGGGAGTGTTTAGTGTAGTGTGAGGGAGTTTTTAGTGTAGTGTGAGGGAGTTTTTAGTGTAGTGTGAGGGAGTGTTTAGTGTAGTGTGAGGGAGTGTTTAGTGTAGTGTGAGGGAGTGTTTAGTGTAGTGTGAGGGAGTGTTTAGTGTAGTGTGAAGGAGTGTTTAGTGTAGTGTGAAGGAGTGTTTAGTGTAGTGTGAAGGAGTGTTGTGATGATAGCTCTCCATCACTCACCGACAAGTACTGAAAATTGTAATAATAAAACCTCTTAACACCACAAGTGCTATACTGACCTACAACACACAGAGACAAGCACAGCGACAACACTTATTTGTAGGATCATAGGCGGAGATGTGGCCGCCATACCTGCAGCTACTAAACCTGCACAATTACAAATCCTAGATGTTGGCTCACTGACGCACAAATAACCACTAACAGACTCACAGGGCACAGAACAGATAGGGACTGACTGTGTGGTGTGTGGGTGGGCGTTCAGTGACTCTCCCCCACCCACCCACCCACCCCACCCCACCCCACCCACCCCTACAGTTGCCAGAGATTTCATTAGACAGGATAATAAATACATCAGCTATGGATAAGGTCGGATTAGGTTATGGGTAGGGTAGGTTAGGTTTAAGGTAAGGTAGATTAGGTTGTGTAAGGTTAGGTTAGGTTAGGTTAGGTTATGGGTAGGGTAGGTTAGGTTTAAGGTAAGGTAGATTAGGTTGTGTAAGGTTAGGTTAGGTTAGGTTAGGTTATGGGTAGGGTAGGTTAGGTTTAAGGTAAGGTAGATTAGGTTGTGTAAGGTTAGGTTAGGTTAGGTTAGGTTATGGGTAGGGTAGGTTAGGTTTAAGGTAAGGTAGATTAGGTTGTGTAAGGTTAGGTTAGGTTAGGTTATGGGTAGAGTAGATTGGGCTATGTAAGATCAGGTCAGGTCAGGTAAAGTAAGGTTAGGTTGTCTCGATAGGGTTGTCAAAATCTTTCTTCCGTTGTGCCATTATGGTCTCACATAAACTGTAATAAAACAAAATGTACTCAGCTGACATAAAAATGAAGTGTTTACAGCACAATAACTACGCCTCACTCACGTCTATTCACATTAGTTGTGTATCATTTATCAATTCACATCGTAGATAAATTTGCTAAGGTTATAATTATCTCAATAACTTGCCAGTTTGGGGGAATATTAACCTGGGAGGGTAAGGGAGAGGCAGGGAGGGGCAGAGGGGAAGTAAAGGGGGCAGGGAGGGACGGAGAGGGAGTAAAGGAGGCAGGGAGGGGGAGAGGGGGGTAAAGGAGGCAGGGAGGGGGAGAGAGGGGTAAAGGAGCCATGGGGAACAGAGGGAGGGTAACAAATGTAGGGAGGGACGGAGGGAGGATGAGACGGGCAGGGAGGGAAAGTGAGGGTGAGAGGTAGTGAGAGAGAGTAAGGAACACTAGCTAAGTAATGTGTAGGGGCATGCTGTGGTGTGAGTTTATCAGGAAGGGACCCGTGTACCTCACTGGCTCAATCACCCACGCTGTCACTCACTCACTGTAGTTATATGAGGCCCCCCAGTAACTGCTCTCCACTATTCCTTAACACAGATGTATGTTGTTGACTTTTACCTTTATCCTCTTCACCACTGATCGGCTCGTTAGCCTCTTGGTCGGTCGGTCACGTCTCTGTCACGCACTGTTGGCAAGTACTGGGCATGCACCGGCTCCTGAATGTACCTGAACCTGCTCCAGTGTTGGTCAAGTCTGGTCTTGCACCAGTTCACACTCGGTGCCGTCACAACACTCTCTGGCAGATTGTTCCAAGAGTTTACAATTCTCACTCCGAAAAAAATTGCCCTCAGTTTTCTGGACTTGTGACCCCATGTGGGGCGGACGTCCGCCAGCTCCAGGTATGTATATTCGACTGAGCAGTGGCTCCTGAGATGTTTATACACTTCAATTAGGCCAACTCTCGCCCGTTTGTAGTATAAGCATTATAATCTCTCTGGATAACTGTGGTTCCATAGAGCAGGCACCAGTCTGGTGGCCCTCCTTTGGACATTTTCAATCAACTAACAGTGTCTAGCATACCACGGGGACCAGACGCGGTGACAGTACTCCAGGTGGGGAAGTACCTCACTCTTGAAGATCGTCACGGACCATCGACAGGTAGATATCTGAACGACCTTCTTATAAGACCTGCTAGTTTCATTGCCTGATTCACCTTCTTCTCTCAATGGCCCGAGAACTTCAGCCCATTGTCAACATACACACCCAGGTACTTTTCGCATTCGGTCTCAATGCAGTTTCTTCGTCTTGTGACGTGATATGCCTCCTTGCTGTTGGTACGATTTTTTTTTTTTTAGTTTAGAAAAGGATGGGAGGCAAGCTGGGGTTCATGGCACAGCCAGACATGAAGGATAGAGAAGTCACGACAGGTAATCGTGTGGGGAAAGGTTGGAAAAGAAGTTTAATGAGTTAAACAGAGGGGACGACACCCCTTGTTTTACATATTACAGAGTTTGTTCAGGTGCATCCTTTTTTTTTACATGAAAACCTATTTTTCTTGTGTATATTGGTGTGTTTTCTTCAAATATGACCTTCATTTCCCTGGGAAATTAATGGTTTTCGAGGAAATGATTTTACGTGTTAAAGATTTACTGTAGAACTAGCCAATCAAAAAAATCTACCTAACTTCCGAGCTGGGGGACTCTGCCGTCATTATGTGATTTTACTGACTCAGCAGATTTTTCGGAGGAGTATTTACGGTAAATATTTCAACTTCCTACATTACCTAAAAAATAATGACTATCCAAGTGAAAACAGTGACAACCCCAGAAGGTTAGTTATGAGCTTAACATCAAGTAAAGGTTAATAAAAAGGGCTACTTCTATAGGAAATTTGAACATCTGTAAAACCAATCTTCAACAAAACAAGTATAAACAGCCAAACAAGCTAGGAGAAACATTAACAAACGTAAACTTATACAAACTTAAAGCAAATAAACACTCTAAGAATAAGTAAACATAAACAAGCTTAAACGAACAAATCTGAGAATAAACATAAAAAACAAAGCAAGATTAAGAAAAAAACAAGCGTAATAAAACAAAAACAACAGTAAATACAAACAAGGGTGAACAAAACAAGGATAGACAAACAAGGGTGCTAATAAACAAGGATAAACCAACAAATAAGAGTGAGTATATGAACCAACGTAGTAGTGAGGTATGAGCACCAAGTTGATCCCAAGGCCACACTCCCCTCCCTTCCTCACCCCCAGCCACATCTGGAGTGTCTCATATAGCTCTCCGTTATCTCCTCTTCTTCCTCTTCCATCACCTCCTTTTCTTCTTCCATTATGTCCTCTTCCTCCATCATCTCTTCCTCCCTTACCTCCTTCCTCTGTATGTGGGTGTGAAAACAAACTGAATGAAAATGAGCAGCTGCTTGGAAATCCTTCACATCTGTAGTCAAGGGGTCTCTTGGGAACAATGAGAAAGAAGCAAACTGTTGCCAACTTCGAGAGGAACTTTAAAAAAAAAAAAACTTAGGGTGCAGGATGTCCCTGAAAGTCCACCACCTACACTCGCACTTGGACTTTTTCCTGGGAATCTGGGGCTGTTAGTGATGAACAGGGTTAGGGAGAGCGATTTCATCAGGACATTAGACGTATGGAAAGGTACCAGGGTAGATGGGATTGTAGTGGATTCCTCCCCTACAACCGCCGTTTGTCGCTGTCTAGCCGACCCTCTTCGAATTCCCCAGCATGCCTCGTGGTCTAGGTCGGTAACCAGCGCCGCCTAACAAAGCGGAGGTCAACTGTCAAGCCACGCCTACCCCCGCTATATAAGACCTCACCCCGCCGTGACCGACCTCTTCTACCTGCAGCCACCAGCAAGCAATACCTCCTCCGCTCCCACCTGGTGGCTCCCCCTCTCGCCGGCGACTATGGCGCCCCTCAAGCTGCGTGTCTTCCTCTGAGCATCCTCACCAACCAGCTCTCTCTACACCACGCTTGGACCCACGCTGCCACCCCCCAGCACCAAGCTGCATTGTACATCCAATACAACATGTATACAGTGAGCACATCGTGAGTTTCCTTTCTCCAACCCATCCTGAGTGTGAACCAATATCTCATAACCCCACAGGATCCTGCCATGAGGGGGGACTATTGCTGGTGTTTACACTCGGAGGACAATACAACACATAAAAGGGTGAAATAAAATAACAAATGCCCAAACAGTGGCTAATGTAATACTTTTTGTGTCTTCTTGTGATTGTTTTAATTCTTTATTGAATTTCAGTGTGATGACGTGGAAAAAAGTAACAGGAATAACAGGAAAAATAGTATTTTTTTAGTTTTTGTATTTGTAAGATTTAATTTTTGGTATAGCAAATAAACTGTACGTGCCAGAGAATTTTTATTGCCAGATTTGAAATCAGCTCCTCTGAACCACGTTATGGATTTGTTTCTTGCTTTTTTTCCTAGTGTAATTATTGATACCAATATATGTGGCTTGGGCTGATAGGTTGCTCTTTCCTTAAATTAATACAGTATCTTGAGTGTTTTTTTCTTTGTCGTTAATAAGTGTTCTTCTACCCCACCTTAAGAAAGCCAAACATTCACTTATTGATGCATCCAACCATCCTTCGTCCACTCATTCACCTTTTACATTCCACCTAACCTCCACCCACTTATCCTTCCGGCCTCCACCCACCCACCGACCTTCACGCCCACCAGCCAGGATGTGTTAATGTGTAGTCCAGTAATCATGATGGTTGGTTGAGTCAGTGTGATGGTGAAGAACGCTTAGTGAGTAAGGGGGTGGGGGTATTTAGACTAATTCTATACTCAACATCTTCCAGACCACATGTATATCACGCCATCCATCCTACCAGACCACATGACCTGCCACCTGTATATCATGCCATCCATCCTACCAGACCACATAACCTACCACTGTAATGGTGCATTTCTAAATGAGTTCATTCATAATCGTTGGGATGACCGTTTATGAGGAGGAAGATATTTAGCTAAATTATATAAAGATACATACATTCATTATTTCAAACACAAGTAAGTAGAAAGTTTATCAAAAGTATTATATATGAATTAAATGTTAAACTCTGGTAGCAAACTCACGCTTTCGGAGGATGCATTTAATATATACTTATTTTTACCCACAATAAGGCATACTAAGACAAATTACGTATTAGTAATACTACAATATGCAAAAACTAACATTTTAAAAGATCAGAATCACATTGAAATATTTACAAGGCCGTCAACAGCGGTAATCACCCAGATTGTATACTAACAGTCCAACACATACACACCATGAAACATACAGTACAGTGCACACTTTCATAATAACACATACACACCCACAAACACACACAAGTACACATTCACTGACAGAAAGACTGATGTGTCACCATGAACAGGAAGTGAGAGGAGATAAGAGGGGGCGGAGTGCAAATAATGAGTACAGATTTACAGTATACTTTGTTCAAGTCACCCAGTCAAATACAACTGAGGGAGACAAAAATATACCTGGCCTGGGGTAATTTGACCTTTTTAAAGGGGTACCCTGCCAATATTATAGGGAAGTGCAGAAAGGGCATAAATTAATTACAGTGCTGTACCTGACTACTGTATTGTGAAGCGGGCCCTGGTTCTTTGGACTGAATTCTTGTTGACATACTTGTGTGATAGTGTGAGTCCATTTTTCCTTGCATCCTGGGACAGCCAAGCAGTCTTAGCAAAAAGGTTAACAGTATCATTGTGTACAATACCAACGTGAGGTAGAATCTGCAAGACATGTATGACAACAAAGTTCTCACAAGCTAAACCAAAGACATTTAGGTTTCGTGAAGAAGGAGTTTTGGCTCTTTTGTTCCTTTATCATTTTTGACAGAATTATTGAAGCTGTATACTAGGGTTATTTGGCAGTTCTAATGTTTAGTTTCTTCAGCTACTACAGTATGAATGTATAAATCAAGCTGTTTCTGCATTTGCCAGAGCACAATCAACTTGACCATTACGAAAGAGACACATTGTTTATAGAGGCCCTCGTGTGATAACATTCAGATTTAGTTTACTGGTTTATCTTTAAGAACTTGCCATTTTAATGACACTCAAAGATGGAAAAGTTAAAGTGGGTGGGAAGAGACATTAAATTTCCTCACTAATGATTCATGGTTTTGTCTATGCTGGCCACTTTGCCTTTCGGTTATTTTGGCCGCTTGGGTCATTTTGATGTTACCCGATTTGGGAGTGCACTAATACTGGTGCAGGATGCACCGACCGTGTCTGGGCTGGGTACTTCATTTCGACAACAGATGCTAGAGGGGTTAGACGTCACTGTTGAACATCTCTACCGTACACAGTAAGTCAGTTCCTGCTAAATATATTACTGTTACTCTACATCTACATAGAAATGATAGTTTCCTTTTAGAAATGCAGAATAGCTGTAGTACTTCTGTTTAGGTTAAGTTAGGTATGGTTCTTATAAAAGAAGAATATTTCTAAGAATATTTTTGTTAGATCAAAAACAAACTTAGTGGACACATGGAATTTAGTGTTGCCTACCAGACATAAATACATGTAATAGTAAAAAAAATCTGTATCATGCAAATCGTATTCCTCAAGCATTGTAACTTCACAAGGTAAGAAAGATTCTACTTTCTGGTGAAACTTTTCCACAAGTTGGTGCTTAGAGCGCACTGCAGTTGTCTTGTTTGGCTGATCCCGGGGAATTATATTTGCTCTCCCTGCAACTGATACATGTAAGTCTTCCTCAGATCATTTTGATGAGTGAGACATGAGGCTCAACATGAGGGTGATGTTAACCGCCCTGCTGCTGCTGGGGCTGTGGGGCAGGGGGCCAGGGGCTGCCTCCAAGGTCGAGTTGATCAACAACGGTTATGAGGATGTTGTGATCGGTATCTCACCAGAGATTGATGAGAGTCAGGGGCAAGCCATCATCACAGCTCTCAAGGTAAGGTTTCTCTACCTCCTCCCTACCCCCCTTACCCCAACTCTCCTTCCCTACCCCCACCATCCTCCCCCCACCTCACCATCCTCCCCTTACCCCCCACCATCCTCCCCCTTACTCCCCACCATCCTCCCCCTACCCCACCCATCCTCCCCCACTCCCCCACCATCCTCCCCCTACTCCCCCACCATCCTCCCCCCCACTCCCCACCCATCCTCCTTACCCCACCATCCTCCCACCTCTTACCCTATCCCTTTCCTTCCCTTCCCTCCCTCCTCCTTCCACCTCTTTTGTAACATTAGTGTAATTATGTTTTATCCTTATGACTCCCAGGATATATTATACCCCCGATATATTATGACCCCGATATATTATGACCCCCGATATATTATGACCCCTGATATATTACACCCCGATATATTAGACTTCGATATATTAAGTAATTCCCCGGGATATAATATGACCCCGATAGTTATGGCACCCGATATTATAAGTACCCGATATACAGGCACCGGATATATTATCACCCCCGGGAGATAGACCCCTGACATAATAATATGACCCCTGATATATTATGACCGGATATATTATGACCCCGATATATTATGACCCCCTGATATAATATGACCCCGATATATTATGGCACCCGATATATGGTGGCACCCGATGAGACAGACCCTCGATATAATAATATGACCCCCGGGATATATTATGACCCCGATATAATAATATGACCCCCGGGATATAAATAAGGGCACCCGATATGCATTATGGCACCCGATATATTATGGCACCCGGGATATATTATGGCACCCGATATATTATGCGCACCCGGGATATATTATCACCCCCGATATTACCCCTGGGATATAATATGACCCCGATATATATTATGGCACCTGATATATTATGACCCCCGGGATATATTATGACCCCTGGATATATTATGACCCCCTGGATACATGACTCCCCGGATATAGATATGACCCCGATAGGTCTTGCGGCACCCGATATTATGCACCCGGGATATATTATCACCCCCGGATATTATCACCCCCGGGATATATTATGACCCCGGGATATAATATGACCCCCGGGATATATTATGGCACCCGGGATATATTATGGCACCCGGGATATATTATCACCCCCGGGATATATTATGACCCCGGGATATAATATGACCCCCGGGATATATTATGGCACCCGGGATATATTATGGCACCCGGGATATATTATCACCCCCGGGATATATTATCACCCCCGGGATATGTTATCACCCCCGGGATATATTATGACGCTATCATTCTGCCAAATTCTAAAATAGATATGCTAGGCCTCACCATTTCCTCTAATATGTCATGGAAGCCACACATCCTCAACATTGCTAAAGCTGCCTCCTGAAAGCTGGGAATGCTGTACAGATGCCGTATCTACTTCACTCCTGAGCAGTTGCTTCAAGTACATAAGGGATTCATTCGTCCTAACTTGGAGTACTGCTCTCATATCTGGGGTGGCTCTTCTTCTGTCCATCTCTTAGATAGGGTGGAATCAAAGGCATTTCGTCTTATTAACTCTCCTCCTTTAGTTGATAATCTCTCTTCCCTTTCTCTTCGCCGCAATTTGCCTCACTCTCTCTCTTTTACAGGTACTTTAACGGGCAATGTTCGGTGGATTTGGCATCCCGTGTACCGCCGGCCAGGCCGTGGGCTCGTAACACTCGTCTTGCCTGCGGTGCCCACCATTTCTCTGTGGATGTCGGTCACACTAGAATAACCCGTTATTGTACATCCTTCTTTCCTCACACAACCAAACTGTGGAATGGTCTGCCTTCTTCTGTGTTTCCATACTCATACATCTGTCTCACTTTAAAAAGCTGGTTTTCCGGCATCTTCGTGGTGTAGATTAATATACCGGTAACCTCTTATTTTTTCGCCCCGTTTTGGGTCGATGATCTGTGCCCGGGTGGGCTATTCCCCGTAAAAAAAGTAAAAAATAATGTTTATATTAAATAGTGTAAATTTTATTTCAGAAAATGCTGATTGAAGCCTCAGGACATTTATTTACAGCAACTCGCAGAAGGGCATTCTTTAGACGAGTGAAAATACTAATACCACAGTCCTGGACCAATACACCCTTCAACCAGACTGCCACCACAGAAAGATTCAAAGTAAGGTGAACATTATATTTCATGTTGCAACAGATACTTTTATATTTTTCTTCAGACATTTTTTTTCAGTGGCAATAGTTTGCAAAATGTTTAATCATTACTAATATGAGTACTGTAATAGAAGCTCATGTTGTTGTCTTATTGTCTACATTAACAGTATGAAACCATAGTTGGGTAGGTATGAGAGGAAACATTCTTGAGGGTTTGGTATTGACAAGCCAGATAAAATCTTGATTATACTCTATGTTTTTTTGTTTTCAGAAACCAATATAACTGCAGCACAGTACATTATATTTATTTTTTGTCTTCAACACAGGACAGCGAGATTCAGGTCAAACATCAGAACTTTGCTTATGGAAACCAACCATACACAGAGCAGCCAGAGGGCTGTGAAAAAGCTGGAACCTTCATCCACCTCACCCCGGAGTACCTTACTACTAGCAACTATACTACTGGCCACTGGGACCATCCAGGTCAGGCACGAGTTAACTGTACTGTAGTCTCTTACTAAACTCTTTCTTTCATAACAATCAATAATAATTATATAATTGATCATATGATACAGTATTAGTTTACCATCCTTGTAAACTGACTACTGTACAGTATTTTAGAGAGGTGATGTATTGTAGTATTCTGTACCAAAAAACTTGTTCTGTATCCAGACAATATCCATCCCAAGAAGTGAGATTTATGGTGGGGTTTATCTAATAACTTGTCTGAGTTATCTCTAAGAAGCCATGCTGTGGGCTGTTCTTGAAGTTCATACAGATCTTCAAGTAGAACTTATTTTTTCCTGAATAACTTAGCACTGTCACCCAACATTTCTCAAGAGACACAACAGTGGTCTAAGAACACTGCTTGTCACAGGCACACATGACTATTGTTCACTCTGCATTGTTTATAATCATAAGGAAAGTCACAGATCTGTGATAGGGCATTTTCCTTTATCTTGTATCAATTCAATTTGATTTTCAGTCTTACTTTTTACTTTTACTTTTATCCTCTTCACCATTGATCGGCTCGTTGTATGAGATACAAGACAAATGCCTGGGATATTTAATAAATATAACGTCAATATTGCCACCACGTTGTAGGATTTGTGACCATACCTCCATTACTTCCTGCAGGAGAGTCCATACATGAACAGTTTGTATGATGGCTTTCCTTCTCAAGGTTGATCCATCGAGATGGCATCACATACGATGCTCTCTAGATTATTACACACTATGCAGGTCAATTTACTCACAGGCCTGTAATTATCCATATAGTGGTGATCAGTCTATTTGAATACTGGACTAACATATAGTAAACTCTCCCATTGACCCCCTTGTTATAATGCTTCCTATCTACAATATTTCACTTAGCGATGGGTTTTCAGGAACTTAACCCCATCATTTATCGAGGTTTGCCTGTACTAGTTTAGCTATAGCAAAAAAAATAGTTCAGTATAATACAACATATGAGTAGATGTTCTAATCACATGTAGGTATCTAACAATTACTAATGCAGCCAAATTTGTCTGACAGTTCCAATCCACTTTGTGTTTTGAAGAACTGATATTTTATACAGTAGGCAATAAAGATCCTCAAATCTCACATAGTGAATTCCCTGACAGGTAAGTCCCTGGTGCCTCTGTGGGCTAAGTTACGTTGGGGAGTGTTTGACGAATTTGGATTTCCCAGTCAAACCAGTCCAGAATTTCGTTTCTTCTATGAACCGAAGACAAATAATAACAAAGGGGAAACTGACACCACCCTTCCAAACTACTGTGCTAATGAAGCTCTCAAAGGTGAAGAAAGGTAAGTAGTACTTAGTGTGCTGAACTAAATCCCAAATTGTGTTATGGTTGACGGAAAAAAAGCATTGTTTTATTGGCTATTGGTATTAAATAGTTTTACTGCTCTTGTACAGTATCATATTGTATGTCTCAGCTAACATAAGATCTCTGTACAGTATCATGTTGTGTGTCTCAGCTAACATAAGATCTCTGTACAGTATCATGTTGTGTGTCTCAGCTAACATAAGATCTCTGTACAGTATCATGTTGTGTGTCTCAGCTAACATAAGATCTCTGTACAGTATCATGTTGTGTGTCTCAGCTAATATAAGATCTCTGTACAGTATCATGTTGTATGTCTCAGCTAACATAAGATCTCTGTACAGTATCATGTTGTGTGTCTCAGCTAACATAAGATCTCTGTACAGTATCATGTTGTGTGTCTCAGCTAACATAAGATCTCTGTACAGTATCATGTTGTGTGTCTCAGCTAACATAAGATCTCTGTACAATATCATGTGTGTGTCTCAGCTAACATAAGATCTCTGTACAGTATCATGTTGTGTGTCTCAGCTAACATAAGATCTCTGTACAGTATCATGTTGTGTGTCTCAGCTAACATAAGATCTCTGTACAGTATCATGTTGTATGTCTCAGCTAACATAAGATCTCTGTACAGTATCATGTTGTATGTCTCAGCTAACATAAGATCTCTGTACAGTATCATGTTGTATGTCTCAGCTAACATAAGATCTCTGTACAGTATCATGTTGTATGTCTCAGCTAACATAAGATCTCTGTACAGTATCATGTTGTATGTCTCAGCTAACATAAGATCTCTGTACAGTATCATGTTGTATGTCTCAGCTAACATAAGATCTCTGTACAGTATCATGTTGTATGTCTCAGCTAACATAAGATCTCTGCTCCTGCTGCTCGGAATCGAGTATGATGATCATCCAGCTATGATACAATGATATGAGTTATTAGAGATGCCACCTACTGTACAGTATATTGGTGAGTTCTGAGGTGACAAAAGAGGCCGATACGGGACCGGCAGGGTCGATCACAGATTTTGCACATTTGGTGGGCTACATCTAGTGCGGGAAGGGTGGCAGCAACGTCTTTCCGGCGTTGGCGCTTGTCTGCCTCGTTATGCAGTCGAGCTAACTCGAAAGTATTGACACCTTCTTGTGTGGTGCTCCTCCAAGCGTTACAGTGTGGAGTAATCGTCTCCCTGGTGAGGGGGTCGAGTTGGCACTTTTCAGGTTTGTCTTAAGATTATCCTTATACCTTTCCAGTTGCCCGCCAGCGTTACGTTTACTATTCGTTAGGTGACTGTAAAGTAGCTACTTTGGCAGTCTTCTGTCACCCTACGGGTAGCATGGCCAGTCCAGCGCAGTTGTTCATGGATAATGGTAGTCTTGATGCTTCTACAGTTGGTATCAGCAAGAATACTGCCATTTGTTTTCTTGTCTCCCCAGCAAACTCGGAGGATGGAACGTAGACTACGTTGGTGAAAGTTTTCAGGTCCCTAGATATGCCTCCTGTATGTGACCCATGTCTCGCTGCCATATAGCAGGGTGGGGAGAACCACTGCTTGATAAACTATAGCTATAAAACGCGCTATAGCAGGAGAAGTCTTAGGCCAGCGGTGGTAGCTGAAAGCGAGAGGGAGCAAGCAGTGCTTGCACCTTAACACTAACATAATGCTGCCACACAAGATGCATTTCACCACCCTGTGTTCAAACACACACACACACACTCGTATTTAAGACACACAGTTCTCGGAAGTCAGTGTTGTTGTCAAGTTACGGTACAAATGACGGGGTTATTGTATTTTCAGTCAAAAATTATAAATTTATAAATCTTATACTTTAATGTTTGTTCAATTATTTTTTTCATTACATTACATTAACCTTTATTTAGTTTTTACTCATGATATTATTTACTGGGTTTTTTTTTCAGGATTAAATTTGTGACCAGACCTACACTTATTATTTACTACAGTGGTACATATTTTTTCATGGTTTATTTCAGGACATTAAAGCCAAGACTCGAGGGTGAAGATGTTGAGGACTGGTGTTTGGAGGACAAGACATCCACTGATGACTGTAGATTCTATCCTTCTAACATCCAGACTGCCAGTACTTCCATTATGTCGTACCCCTTCGTTAAGAGTGTCAGTGTGAGTACCTGGGTCATCACTGTACCTGGTGACTTCATCATTAGTGGTAGTGTACCTGGGTCATCACTGTACCTGGTGACTTCATCATTAGTGGTAGTGTACCTGGGTCATCACTGTACCTGGTGACTTCATCATTAGTGGTAGTGTACCTGGGTCATTACTGTACCTGGTGACTTCATCATTAGTGGTAGTGTACCTGGGTCATCACTGTACCTGGTGACTTCATCATTAGTGGTAGTGTACCTGGGTCATCACTGTACCTGGTGACTTCATCATTAGTGGTAGTGTACCTAGGTCATCACTATACCTGGTGACTTCATCATTAGTGGTAGTGTACCTGGGTCATCACTGTACCTGGTGACTTCATCATTAGTGGTAGTGTACCTGGGTCATCACTGTACCTGGTGACTTCATCATTAGTGGTAGTGTACCTGAGTCATCACTATACCTGGTGACTTCATCATTAGTGGTAGTGTACCTGGGTCATTACTATACCTGGTGACTTCATCATTAGTGGTAGTGTACCTGAGTCATCACTATACCTGGTGACTTCATCATTAGTGGTAGTGTACCTGGGTCATTACTATACCTGGCTCGTCATGGGATCCTCCTCAGTAGACAGTTTACATATCCAACATTCATGGTTTTGTGCTTTTAGCTTTTACTTGTTTAAAACTGCTCCTGTGGCTCTAGTGGTCAACAGCTTCGTCAAGATGATTATATCACCTGGGTCGTTTACCTGTGGTATTGTACACCACTGTCTGGGTTATCAGGCAGTCCACATAAACCAAGGTTTTCATCCTAAGTATAAATTTTGTTGCCTTCATCCAAATATTTTAATTGCATGGATGTCTGGTCACACCTGGGCCTCGTATAACCACCTCAAGTTTACCAAGACTCCGATCATCACATAACCATTCGTGTGATCAAGTTTACCAAGCCTCCGATCATCACATAACCATTCGTGTGATCAAGTTTACCAAGCCTCCGATCATCACATAACCATTCGTGTGATCAAGTTTACCAAGACTCCGATCATCACATAACCATTCGTGTGATCAAGTTTACCAAGACTCCGATCATCACATAACCATTCGTGTGATCAAGTTTACCAAGACTCCGATCATCACATAACCATTCGTGTGATCAAGTTTACCAAGCCTCCGATCATCACATAACATTCGTGTGATCAAGTTTACCAAGACTCCGATCATCACAACCATTCGTGTGATCAAGTTTACCAAGCTCCGATCATCACATAACCATTCGTGTGATCAAGTTTACCAAGCCTCCGATCATCACATAACCATTCGTGTGATCAAGTTTACCAAGCCTCCGATCATCACATAACCATTCGTGTGATCAAGTTTACCAAGCCTCCGATCCTCACATAACCATTCGTGTGATCAAGTTTACCAAGACTCCGATCCTCACATAACCATTCGTGTGTCAGAGTTGGAAGAGAATTGGTTTCCTGTGCTTGTCCTGGTTTTTGCAGTCATCTTATGTGGATTATTTAAGATCGGCTTCAATTTTCCAAGTTTAATGTTTCAGAGATTCCCATAGAGATTCATTTTACAATTTTTATGTGACTTGAAACACTTCATATATTTTTTATTTAGAATCAGATTGTAGATCATTCTAGGTGTGAGGAATCTTCTAGTTTATCAGCAAGCATAACTAATCTGTGCAATAGTGGCTTATAAAAAAATATTAGATATTTATTTAGTATAAAGATCAACTATTCCTAGGGGCGAAAATTATATTGTTTACCCTAAGAGCTGTGGGTAGAGGTCCGTCAGTGTCCAGAATAACAACTGTGAGACTCGGGATCTAATGATGTCTGTATCCTGTTGTTGGTGTGACGTCCTCTGTGAGCTCTGAGACACACTAACACTGGCAGAGTCTAACACTAACCAACTCAGATCCTAGAATGCAGCAGGAAGTGCCTTGAACTCAGCAGATTAGCAACAGGAATATTAAATGCTTGCAACCTGATGTGGACGAGGTGCGTGTGTGGTGCTCTGCCTTCATGACTCGAAAACCTTCTATAATACTGTGCTTCTAATTCCCATTTTTCAGAAGAACAGTTTCAGTGGGGACACAGGTTAGTTCCTGGCCACTAAGGTCAAGGGTTACTTGAGGTCACAACCCACACAATTAATGAATCTCACTCAATACTGTACTGTGTACTGAGCTGAGCTATGAAATGGGATTTCTGGTTCAATCCTCCATTTTGATATATTCCAAATGGGACACTGTCAGGCATTGTATGTTGGTTTCTAGTCAATATTTGTCTTGCATCAATGCCATGTTTGATCGGCACTCCAGTTTTTTGTATTTGTTGTTATACATTAGTGCCATTAATGATTGGCACAGTGCTGACTTAATATAAGTAATTTTTTGTCCAGCAGATTGTAGAGTTCTGCGACGCAAATACACACCGATATGATGCTCCCAACAAGCAAAATAAGTTCTGTAAAATGTCTGTGTGGGATGTGATGCTGAAACACAGTGACTTCCGTGACAACCAGTAAGTCTCTTGTTAGTTTTCTATGTTGAACTACTCTATAGGGAATTAAAGGAAGAAATTGCTGAAAACCACAATATATTGGACATCCTGTTACCACAACAGGCTGAAGTTACTAGTACTGTACAGCATAAGAATGTGAGGGCTGGTCAGAGATGGTGACGTTAACAGAGGAACCCACATTTACCTTACATTAACTGTTGTATTATGTGTGTTAACAGGAACCCTATACGTACAACTCCCATAGATGACACACAAGTCATAGTGGTTCAGGAGGTGGACCCCAGCTTTGCTATCGTCATGGACGTCTCATCCAGCATGACAACTAACAATCGTTATAAGAACCTTCAAACAAGAGTGAAGGCATTCTTGCTGCATAAGTTGCCTGCTAACAGCTCCGTGTCTCTTATAAAATTTGGGTATGTATTTTACGTTTATATATATGAAGTTAATTCATAAATTATGTTAGTTTTCGGATCTCACTATACCTAAGGAGAGACATTGACTACTTCAAAATATTGCCAAAACTGTAGTAAATGTTCTTTTGTCTTCATTTTTGGGAAAGGTAGTTAGGTTGGAATGTTCCTTGATCATTCACGTTGTAGAGAAGATACTGTAGAGAAGTGTGAAGTTGTGAAAGACTGGATCAAGATAAAGTGGTGCACAGACCACTGTCCTCACTTACAGGTTTGCCCAGCGCTTCTACGGTGGAGACCGCCATTAGTGTAACTAAAACCATAAAAAATTAAGTCAAGAAAATTTTTAATATCATAGAAATTACAACAATCCTTACAAGATGCAAGTTCAGTCAGTTCCAGAGAGAGAGAGAATTAGAGGGGGATTCTTATTATGAAATATAGTTTAATTCCACAAAATATTTACATATCAGTTACTCAGTGAAAGACAGATTATAAATGTTGGTTCTTCCCCCATAGGAGTACAGCCACAGTGTTAGCTGACCTTGCCAAGGTCACGGACGAGAATTCAAGAAAAAACCTGGTGGCCCTGGTCGACACCACCCCTAGTGGAGGCACCAGTATTGGCTCTGGCCTCAAGAAGGCCCTTGAGGTAGATGATATTACACTGTCATCTCTGTAGAGGAATTCTGTACCATCAACACCCTTGAAGGCCAGATTGGGGGAGGTGTTGGTGGCAGCTTGTCTCACAACATTATCCTGGGTTCAGTACCTGTTCTGGTTCAGTTGTGAGAAGACTGTTATCTAGGATGACCCTCACTATCAAACTAAAGGTTTCCTCTAGCTACTCTGTTTCCGAATGGCTACTAAGCTGATAAAAGGTGAAATAATACATTATTGAGTCCCCTGTAAAACATGAGATGTTTTAATGATGCAAAATGTAGCATTCTGTTATTCAAAGTGTAAAGAACATAACTAGTGTGTGATACGAGTCTCCACTCACTCCCAGGGTTTGGAGAGACACCAACCAACATACTAATAATCACCAGTTATGGTGAGGCTCTCAAATTGTTTTCTACCTACAGTACAATACAGTACATTACCTGTACTGACAAAAATTGGGAATGTAGTTTGAATTTAAAATACAAGAAGTTACACAAATCAGTCTAAAAAATTCAGGATGTGATCACACCACACCATCTGGTGTTAGCCAAACGGACGTCCCTGTAGTGAAGGAGTTAGTGGAGATAGTTAGTGATACTCTTGATAACCTGGCTATAAATTGTCTGCCTAAACACCGAGGTAAATATGACAAGAAAATGAAAAGTCAATAAAGGAACTTGAAACTGAAGATCCCAGATGATTATGAGAAGGTGAATCTTGCTAATAACCTGGTGGCCTTACACAAAGGTTCTGCACATACCGTTACTTAGATGGTCCATGTTTGGGTTCTAAGTTACATGAAAGACTGCCAAGTAATTGAGAAAGTCCAAATGAGGGCCACCACACTGGTGCTGGCCCTCATACACTCACTTACCAAGAGAGACTGTCGAACATCTTGAACATGCTAATTTATAGTATAGTATAGTACAGTACAGTATAGTATAGTATAGTATAGTATAGTATAGTATAGTATAGTATAGTACAGGCTGGGTGATTTAATAGAAGTTATAAGTACCTCAAAGGACATTACAGAACTCAGTCATGTGTTTAAATCTGGAACTGGAGGAGGCCCGTCCCACTAGGGGTTACGGACTCAAGTTAAAGAAGTCATAATTACAGTAAATTGTCAGAGCTAACTTTTTGGAGTAGCAGTTGTTTGTTTTTTAAATAACGTCTGAGAGAATGTTGTGGTGGCACCAACTCTGGCACATGTTCAGGTATATTCAGGAGCCCATATATGCCTGAAAATTTTGTAAGCTAAAGAGTGATTAAGAGGATAAGTAAGTAAAATCTTTTTCATGTTCTATCCTTGGACAAAATGTTGAGAAAGTGCTTTACAGTACAGTACTGAGTGGGGTGAATAGCAATGACAGAGGAAGAGAAAGTGTTAGGCTTTGACTTAAAGGAGACAGATTAGGTGTTGAGGAAAGGAGTGTGGGAGAGAAGGTTTCTTTTGATGTTCAAAGTTGTAAAATAACTCTGGTGTTTGCTGTAGACTGTGGGTCGCCATTTTGTATTTTTTTTTAAAGAATTAAACTAACATTAACTGTTTGACAACTAGATAAATAAAAAGAGTACTGTGGTATCTAACTTTTGCTGTTTCTTGCCTCTGAACAGGTGCTGAAGAATCAGAGAAATAAGCACATTTTCCTCATCACTGATGGAGAAGAGAACACCTCCCCCTTGATTAATGAAGTTTGGCAGGATATGATTCAGGCCAACGTGTGCATCATGACAGTGGCCTTAGGGTGAGTTAAGTTGTTTCTTCTCTAGTTTACTGTCCCCCGCCGTCCCGAGAGGCAGACATAGAAATTAATTATTTGTATCCGTACATTTAGAAATTCTTAACCTGAGGACACAGCGATAGATTTCAACCAAATCTGGTTTGTTTGGGCATCACAATCTTCAATGGAGGTCAGTAGGCAGCATTCACTGTCATCATCGTCCAGAATTATGGAAGTTTGGAGTTTACTGAGACAGAGTTGACTTACAGTGGCAACCTTGTCATCAGGTGTGGTAGAGGGAACATGACTCTGTGTGTGGGTAAGTGTTGTGGTTGTCATGACCTGTGTGGTGGGTCTCTCAGATGTATTCAATAGGAATTATTTTCCCAGTTTATTTTTGAGGGAGTATTTTGCTCTCTTGTTCCCCGGTATATACAGAACATAACACAACTTGGATCTGTTGGATTGTTATCATGTATATTCTCTTACAAAGTGGTTTTAATGTATTGTTAATTTCACACTCCAACAAGTTATAAGTAATTTACAATCTATAATTTACCTGATGGAGACCTGCATGCCATGTCACCAGGCTAACTCAGCCAGCTTGGACAATGGCCTTAAAGCGGTGTAGATGATGTGGATTTATACAAGTGAGTCGTGTTAACATTCATCATAGCTTATAAGCTGTTTCCACCTTGTGGGTTGGTGGTAGGACGGGTTCCAGCCGTGGGTTGGTGGTAGGACGGGGTTCCAGCCGTGGGTTGGTGGTAGGACGGGGTTCCAGCCGTGGGTTGGTGGTAGGACGGGTTCCAGCCGTGGGTTGGTGGTAGGACGGGGTTCCAGCCGTGGGTTGGTGGTAGGACGGGGTTCCAGCCGTGGGTTGGTGGTAGGACGGGGTTCCAGCCGTGGGTTGGTGGTAGGACGGGTTCCAGCCGTGGGTTGGTGGTAGGACGGGGTTCCAGCCGTGGGTTGGTGGTAGGACGGGGTTCCAGCCGTGGGTTGGTGGTAGGACGGGGTTCCAGCCGTAAAACTTTGCTTCAATAAGCCTGTTGGTTTTGTCCAACAGCGGCCATCAAATAATAATGGCTAACCCACATAAGCATGGAAAATGGTTGTAACGATGGGGATCATGGTAATGATGACAAATGTTAAACTATGGGCCTCATTGTTGCCTCACTTGCATGCTTTCCCCAAAATGTGGCACAAAAACATTTATCAGTAAAGGAAAAAGTTTACTTAATTAATACCAGAAGAAACGTGATAAAGTTTTCCTTACAGTGAAAATTAATTGCATGTTGATAAAGCTGACTGTACTGTACAGGAAGTCTGCTGACGACAAAATTGAGAAACTGGCAACTGAAACAGGGGGCAAGGCACTAACTGTTAGGGACGATGATCAAATCAATATGTTGGATAAGGCCCTTGTGTCCACACTCACCCGCTTCCCAGCCAAGGCTGCACAGTTCACTCGCTTTGAAGTAAGTGTTTATACAGTACTCTATGTGTCTAGTGTTTTATAATACCAGGTACAGATGATTCTCTTATATTTAATACAGGCATTCTCCAATTTATGAAAGGGTTCCATTAATGAAAAACGTTTCATAAATCTGAGCACATTTACCCATAAACTTCCATTATAAAGGTGCAATACAGTCCTGGTGAAGCCCCTTAGACACACACACACACACACACACACACACACACACACACACACACACACCACCTTACATGTCTTATTTCTTTTATAACAAGAAATGGAGTATAGTACAGTACAGTACAGTGCTATACTGTCTTCACATTCAGTACAGTCCACACATGCACCTCTGATCACCCTTGAGTTCCACCTGGGTAACCCTGGAGAGACTATTACCCACAGTATTGTCCCTTGAGTTCCACCTGGGTAACCCTGGAGAGACTATTACCCACAGTATTGTCCCTTGAGTTCCACCTGGGTAACCCTGGAGAGACTATTACCCACAGTATTGTCTCTTTATAATAAATATAATAGTTATCATATTATTATTATTAAACATAGACTAATGTTATCATGGTATGGCGATGTTTCTTCTCACTTCTCTCCTGCCTGTGTTTCTCAGGTGGTGTAGAGCCAATGCACAGTACCTCCCTATGAATGGGCTGATATATTCATTACATTTAATTGATATTTTCTTCCTACACCATACTGGACAAAACTTAGTTTGTAGAATAAGAAGTGGTGACATTCTAGGGAGCCAGAGATATGCTAAACTGGCAAGACATTCAGCATTGCCAAGGTCTGTAGGGGCACAGTGTAAAAAAATTAAATGCATAATATAAGTACTGATGCTGGAATGGCAACAGTGTTTTCTTTCTATTATGCAATATAGTTACAGTATTCTGATGGTACAGAATAAAATAATACTTCTATGTAAAACTTTATACTGTATTACAGAATGATATAATTAACATACTTGCTAATTGTAAAACTTTTGATGAAGATTGTTAGTGAGACTTCTGAGGCCGGGACAACTCTCTGGCAGCTGGTTTACATAATGGCATAAATATTTCAGTTCTATGACTCCCTCAAAATTAACACCGAGAAATTGGAAGTGAAAGATTCTTTCATAGTTGACAAAAGTATTGGGAAGAACCTGATCTTCCACCTGGAGACAGACAATGTGGATCATGTAGATGGATCACCCAAGATAAGAGACCCAGATGGCATAGAAACTAATATCAACGATTTTAACAGTCAGGCCTCAATGTGGACCATCTCTTTCCCTATGGCAAAGGTAAGTGAACGGTGTGTTTGTGTAATAATAATAATAATAATAATAATAATAATAATAATTAAGGGTTTATTGAAGGACCATGGCATCCTGAAGGTTGAAAAAATACAGTTGCATAATGGGGGAATGGGTCTCTTGATTTACAAATAATATACAAGTAACGTAAGTGATACAAATATGATATATAATGACTAGGTGTGGTTGTTGTGTTGGCGACAGCTTCTACACCTTAAACAAATTCACGCCTAGGTGGCCCTTGGGCCGGCCTTCCTCGTTACATGAGGGGCAACCATTATAATGTAGTTGGTAACTGTACAATAGTTGATATGGTTGGTTAAAGCAATAAATCTGTGATATATATCAGCATAAACAAAGCAGTTCACCTGGTAATTATTTTTTTTCATCTTTGTACCACTAATTAGATAGGAGTATGGAAATGGAGTGTTGCACTGACTGGAAGCTCATCAAACTGGGTTAAGGCTTTTGCCACCAGCCAGACGCGGGACACAGCTACAATGCCCATTATTACCGAGACCTGGGTAAGATAATTCTCCCTGCAATAAAAATCATGTTCTCATTTACCACAGATGACAAATGGCTGTGTTCATGGTGATGACTAATTACATCTATATATAAAAGACAGGAAAATGCTAGACTGTATAATGTACATTAAATTTTCAGAGTTTGTTGTGTTTGCTTCCAGAGTACTAATGGAAGTGTTGGAAGGAGTAAACGAGAAATCCGCATACGAATCTACTGTAAAGTAACTCAAAGGGAGAATCCCGTCCTATGGGCTGCGGTCAAGTAAGACATCTGTTATAACTTGTTTCCAACTATCCCATCATGTTTGGCTATGGTAGGATAGGTTTTGGTTAGGTTTGGTTTAAGTTAGCTTAGTTTTGGTTAGGTTAGGTTAGGCTAGGGGATCACTTTCCATAACCAGTTATTTCCAAGTGCACAGAGCCTTTACTACCAACAGGACAACTTAACTCAACAGTAACACATAGTGACATAGCCTAAGACTGTAATGGTCATGTGTGTAGTCTAATAGTCATGTGTGTAGTCTAATAATAGTCATGTGTGTAATTCTAATAATGGTCATGTGCGTAGTCTAATAATGGTCATGTGTGTAGTCTAATAATAGTCATGTGTGTAGTCTAATAGTCATGTGTGTAGTCTAATAATGGTTACATCTGTTAAGGGGAATAGTGACGGGACCTGACAACACCCCCCCTGATATATATGACCTCAAGGATACTGGACAGACACCCGACACCATGGAGAACGACGGTATCTACAGCAGTTACTTGACTAAATTCCCCAGCACTGGTCGCTACTCCTTAGACTGTGAAGTAAGTCTTGCTCCCTGTGAAGTAGATAAGTTTTACACCATTGATGACTCTCAGTGTAGTTGTGTCCTCAGAAGCCAGTGTGAAGGTGATAATAAAGTGATAAAAGAAAGAGTTTACTGTGTAAGGGCCCGACTTTTCTTACTTTATACTATCCTTCAGACTAATATTGAATATAAGATAATCATAAGCAAAGTTTGATTGAGATTTTGATATCCTAAAGAAGGGTTCAGATATGTATCTAATTATCCATTATATTTGGTTATTTTACCTACAAATTAACTACCCGAACCTAATCTCCCCAAATAATGTAAGGTTGGATAATCTTTAGGTGAGTAAGCTGTTGAGGTGATCGTGGCCAATAATAATCAGGCCTTGTATGTACTGTAACTGGGGATAAACTCGATGACATTTTGTGAGTCTGTTATAATAATCGGTTCGTGATGATCAATTAGAAAACAGATAAATTAATGAAGTTCAATAGATTGACTAAAATTGGCTTTTATATAGGATACTGCTACATTATCCAATCACAAAACTGAATGTCATATTGCTGGGCGAGACTGAGTGGTGTGACGTACATAATAAGTAAGGTACAGTACAGTACAGTATTGATGAACCTTTATTTGTTAATGTACTGCAGGTGGACAGCACTGAGGATACTGTGGTGCCCGGGCAACCTGTGAGCAACACCCGTAAGCGACGTAACACTCGTGAAGGTCCACTTGGTAAGGAAACACCTGACACACTCTACCAGCCTTGTCATAGATGTTATAATATGATGATTATTTATGTCTCTGGAGGTACTGTAATTATGTTCCCCTAAACCTAAGCCAGGGAGCAATATTTGTTACCCCTCAATCCACCAGCTTATAGTTCTTAGTGTGATAATTTACCTACATTTTCTAATTTTCATTACACTTGCTATATAATGTACGTAACTTTATTGAAAAAATTAAATCACCAGATGAATCTCCACCCCAGATTATGTTGTTGTAGTTCTGGCTACCTGTGGAATCACTAATTAGAGGTGACCTGGAAGTAACATTCATAAATATTTATGGGTTAAGTTTTCAAACCCATATGGTCTTTTCTCCATTTATTAAGAAAATAAACTATTACAAAAAAAATGGGATATCACCATAATTAACACTATGAGCTGTGAGCGCTAATGATGGACGAAGCTTGAGCATGTCCGGCTGCTTAGAGCACACGTCTCAGTGGCTCAGAGACGGGAGTTAACTAGCGATAGCCGTCTACTAAATTGATGACTCTGCTATCAAGGTGTGAGAGAACAACGGGAATACACTGTCATATGTCCACTTGATGACGACTCACGGCTCACAGGAAAGTTACCCTGGGTGATGTAATTATATAAACCTAATGTATGTAACCCACATTTATATAAGCATCCCCTCAAATACTGTTAGAGTCGTTAATCTTTAGGTGAAATAAGCTGGGGAGGAGATTCTGCAGGTGATCTGGTGTAATATATTTTAATATGCCGAATGTGTTATAGTGTTATGGGGTGTGTTATAGTGTTGTGGAGTGTGTTATAGTGTTGTGGAGTGTGTTATAGTGTTGTGGGGTGTGTTATAGTGTTGTGGAGTGTGTTATAGTGTTGTGGGGTGTGTTATAGTGTTGTGGGGTGTGTTATAGTGTTGTGGGGTGTGTTATAGTGTTGTGGAGGTGTGTTATAGTGTTGTGGGTGTGTTATAGTGTTGTGGAGTGTGTTATAGTGTTGTGTGTGTTATAGTGTTATGGGGTGTGTTATAGTGTTGTGAAGTGTGTTATAGTGTTGTGAAGTGTGTTATAGTGTTGTGGAGTGTGTTATAGTGTTGTGGGGTGTGTTATAGTGTTGTGGAGTGTGTTATAGTGTTGTGGGGTGTGTTACAGGTCCTAGCTTAGATCTTTGTTGTGGTACCAACATGCCGTTCGACCCCTCCACCACCTCACCTACTGGGGCCTTCAGAAGGAAAGCAACAGGTGGTGTCATTAAGGTAACTCTTCCAGTTTTTCTCAGGTGTTGGTGTTTTGTTAGCAAAGTTTTTTGATGTTGTAATCTCACGTGTTTCTCTCTCACTCTTGGTTATTATATCATGAATATCATTTATACTCTACAGATCTGTATTAGCAAAACTCTTGGGCCACCATCTAGTGAACTGTGTCCCCGGGGCCTCTGATGTGGGGGGCCCTTAACCCCACACTACTTAATTTTAGCCAATGTGTTATACAGTACCAGTAAAATGCCCTAAAAAGACACTGATGACCCTAGGCCTAGAATATGGGAAATTTATTATAGCCTTAAATCTCTCAGTAAGCAATGCAGGTGCGGATCCAGGAATATCAAAAGGGGGGGTTCAAGAAGTTGTGGGGGTCCCAAGAAGTAGTGGGGGGGGGATCCAAGAAGTAGTGGGTGGAGGAACATGTGGGGGTCCTGTTCAGCCAAGGCACAGTGTACACCCCTGAATCTGGCATTGCTGTATGTACATAAACCTAAGTTAGTTGTATTAAAATACACTAAGTACTGTACTTTAAAAAGGACTTGTGTACTGTATGATCTCAAAACTGCCATTACTTGCATTATGTTACTAGGAGTACCTCGAACACATTCATACCTTACCTCTTTCATCAAGTACTATATAATATTAATTATTGTTTTTGTATAGTTGACAGAGGTGCCCGGCCCTGGTGAAGATATCCTACCACCAGATGAGGTGATGGACTTACAGGTGATATCGATCACTTTGTACACCAACACTCAGCCTGTCACCACCATCACACTCACCTGGAGTACACCCGGAGATGACCTCAACCAGGGAACAGGTATAGAAGAGTCTTCATTAAATTTGCATTGTCATCTTAAGACTAGGTCAGGTTTGGTCAGGTTAGGCTAGGCTAGGGTTGGTTAGGCTAGGCTAGGTTAGGTTAGGCTAGGCTAGGTTAGGTTAGGCTAAGTTAGGTTAGGTTTTCAATGTAACTTACTAGTCTCACTATCCAGGGAGACTAGTGGCAGACTCTAGCTCACTCTCATCTTGTCACAAGGTTGAGGCTCTCAGATCTACAGCACTTTGTTGTATGTTCTCAGAGTGTGATATATATTACGATGCATCAACACTCACAAGGAACACTGTGTTGCTAGAGTCACTACAACCATAACTGTAGGTTATAACAGTCACTACAACCATCACTGTAGGTTATAACAGTCACTACAACCATCAATGTAGGTTATAACAGTCACTACAACCATCACTGTAGGTTATAACAGTCACTACAACCATCACTGTAGGTTATAACAGTCACTACAACCATCACTGTAGGTTATAACAGTCACTACAACCATCACTGTAGGTTATAACAGTCATTACAACCATCACTGTAGGTTATAACAGTCACTACAACCATCACTGTAGGTTATAACAGTCACTACAACCATCACTGTAGGCTATAACAGTCTCCTTAACCACCACCCCCCCCCCCATTGTTTCTTTGCAGTGTCGAATTACATATTCCAATTGAGCTCAAACAAGCAGGACCTGTCAGATAATCCGTCTTCCCACAACCAACTAGACACGGTTCTTCCTGTTACAAAGAGTAGCCTGGAGGACGCTCACATCCTGGTCGAGAGCGGCAATAAAGTCACCTTTGACGTAACCTGTCGGAAAAAACTTGAATTTGAAAGGACATATTATTTGGGACTACAAACGGTGGATGATTCTAACAACATGAGGTCTGCTCCAAGGATTAGTTTTGTTGTGTTTTATGTGTTTGTGTGTGTGTATGTGTGTGTATGTGTGTTTTGTCTGTGTATGTGTGCGTGTGTGTTCTCAGTCTCACATCTATGGATCATGTGACTCCTCTCTGCTATGCTTCATGTAATGTTTGATGATTTGTTTTTTGATTTTACTAAAACATCACCAAAAAATAACCATATTGTAACACTCAAACATTCTGGTCATAAAAATATCTTGTGTATAGTTAAAACTGTAGTTGACTCAGCTTGTACTCCACGTGTATAGTTAAAACTGTAGTTGACTCATCTTCCTGCATTTAATCAATTGTAATTAAAGGATCAATTATTTACTCTAAGGTGTCTTACAATTTGGGACATTTATTTGAGTATACACCATTAATGTCAGTCTTTCTTCCCCAGTGAGATGTCCAATATCGTCCCGTTCACTGTCATGGAGAAACTGGCCATGCCATCGTGGTCTCTTGACAGGTCGAGAGATATTAATAGAGATGTTATTAGGTTTAAGAGAAAGAAGGAGAAAGTAGGACAGTAAGAGACGTGTATTAACCAGCCACAAGTTTCATAATATTAATAAAGGTGAAGGGTGAAGCAGCAAGACCCAGACTGGAGTACAGAGTTACACCTTCCATACTGAATTGATCAAGACTCAAGTTTAATTGAAGAATATAATTTTAAATTCAAGTTTAGTCTGCATGATGATGTACATAAACTCTGCTACAGGTCTAGTGTGATTCCAAACTCATTACTAACACACAAACATGTACCTAAGGACTTTGGGTGTTGGTTTGTGATGATGATGAAGAAAAGTGTTTGTTTTTTCTCTACAGGTGAAGAGAATAAGATAATGCTGAATCGAAATGTATAGAAGAGTAAAATTCAGCATTAATACATCCAATTTATGTCTGGGAAGTACGGTGACACATACAGTGGTTGGTAAGATAATGGAAACAACTTGCTTATACTGTAGTCATCTCATTATACTGTACTATACATGTGCTTTCAAGAATATAAACACACAACTCGGCTCCCGACTACAGCGCCCTCCAGAATATATTGAATAGTCTCCAAAATTGGGCCACCTTCAGTACTTTGGGCCTCAACACACTCCAGGTTGTGGACTCCACCAAGCACCTCGGCATCACTATAGATAACAAATTAAATTGGAAAACACACGTCAGTGAAGTTGTCAAATCCTCCAGTTTTCGTCTCCTCCTCCATCGCCTCAAGTCCCCGAGAGTTTCCATGCCTGGGGTTCTCAGTGTTTATTCAACATTCATACTTCTCAAACTCACCTATACCTCCTCTGCCTGGTCTTTCTCCCTAAATACCACACAATGGAAATACCTAGAAAAAGTGGAGAAAAGGGCAGGCAAATTTATTCTCTCCCCATCCAACTCCACACATCAAGAAGCGCTCAACACACTGACCCTCTCAGCTCTCTCTAATCATCACCACGACTTCATCTACAAATTAGGGGAGAAGTCTGCATCATCCTCGACACCGGCTCCTACTTCGACCCGAGATCCGTCATCTGTGAGTTGCTGCTCGACACCACAACCGCATCCAGCCCATACGAGCACGTACTGATTGCTATAAGAACAGCCCAGTCCCATCCATTGTAAAAATTATCAACAACTCGTCGTCAACCAGTGTGTTCACTCCCTACCAATCTATTTTGCATTATCACTATGTTGAGATGCCCTATAGTATGACCTTCTCCCCACCTTGTTATTATATATCATACTTGTATCACTTGTTACCTGTAGTATATTATTTGAAAATCTATTGACCCATTCCCCAGTTAAGTAACTATATTTGAAACCTTTTGACTGCCATGTTTTTTTTTCGATAAACTGTTTATTATTATTATTATTACATACATGCACTACACATATTTACAGTACTTACTTCTCACCACTCCTGAAATATATCATACTGTACTATTTTTAAGATTATCGACAGCTGATAAACCCCTACCTAATATTCCATTATGTTTTCGATAAATCTATAAAAACCATTTGAAATGTATTAATGCAAATACTACCCATTAGAATATAGAAAATTAATCCATTACTTACTTTACTTTTATCTTCTTCACCACTGATCGGCTCGTTAGCCTCTTGGGCGGTCGGTCACGTCTCTGTCACACACTGTTGGCAAGTACTGGGCATGCACCGGCTCCTGAATGTACCTGAACCTGCTCCAGTGTTGGTCAAGTCTGGTCTTGAAAGAGCTCACACTCGGTGCCGTCACAACACTCTCTGGCAGATTGTTCTAAGAGTTCACAACTCTCACTCCGAAAAAGTTTGCCCTCACCGTTTTCTGGACTTGCGGCTTCTTTAACCTTGAGCTGTGACCCCTTGTGGGGCGAGCGTCCGCCAACTACAAGTAAGGTCACTCGGGGGATCGGTGGTAGAGGCGGTACCGTTCTTGCCTCGCAAGCGAGATGTCACGGGTTAGATTCCCGGGCCGGTGGAAGTTGTTTGGACTTACTTCCTAGCCCCCATTAGTCCCTGTTCACCTAGCAGTAAAGTAGGTACCTGTTGTAAGTCGAAAGTTGCGAATTCGTATTCAGGGAAAGTTGTTGGAGCTTCCAATAACTTGATGACATAAACCACTGACTCTTCAGGCTTCTACGCCCTTAACTCATGAGACATAAAGGCAAGCATGACCTTAGCATGCTTCCCTGTTGGGCGCTGTAAACGCTTCTGCGTTTCACCTTACACAAGGATGTAGGGGAGTGCCCAATAAATAAATAACAAAAATAAAAGGACACTCGACTGAGTAGTGCCCCTTGAGATGCTTATACACCTCAATTAGGTCCCCTCTTGCCCGTCTGTAGTAGTATAAGCTAGGCAAGTTCAGGCGCTCATTAAAACATTAAAAATTAACCCATTGAAAAAAATAACCAATTGAAAGCATAGAAAATTAACTCATTGAAAACATAGAAAATTAACCCATTTAAAACATGGAAAATTACCTTATGAAAACAGAAAATTAACCCTTAGAAAACATAGAAAATTAACCCATTGAAAACCTGGAAAATTACCGATTGAAAGCATAACAAAATTAACCCATTGCGAATATAGAAAATTAACCCATTGATTTATGTGTTCCTCAAGCTCCCATTAGTGTTAATATGACGTTAATGAGAAATATTGCTCACAAGAACTGTATGTGTGTGGTGACAAAAATGAAGTACAGGTATAAACATTTCTGGTGGTGGAAGCTGAAGAGAAGCCAAAGTAGTTTTGTATTAATACTTACTCACCAGATGATCAATATTATAATTAAAAAAAACATTATAGACACAGAAAACACCGTTATACATTATAGGTACTGTATAGGAGTGACTCACACCTCCTCTCTATAACATCCTAAACCAAATACACATATTAATGTATAATATAATATGGAACATTTTGGCTAATTATATTTAAAATTATAGTAATAAGTAAGATTAACTCATATATATATTACCTGTATATAATAAAGACTTTAGGCTCGTGGCCCTGAGGTAAACAACAGCTGAGGTGGGACTCGGCCTCAGGTATTTATCATTTTATTTTACTTCTGGTAGAGTAATTAATGTGATTATTAACTCATATAGGTTGTAGAGTCTTAAGGTAATATTGTGTGATGTTCTTTGACGGTTTGGTTAGGTTAGGTTGTACAGACATACAGTAGGTCAGTTTATGTGTGGAAGACCTTAACCCCAGGCTTGTAATACATGTGTCTTGTTTCAGATGAGATGTTGGGTTTTGCAACAGTGACAGTTGTTGCACCAATACAGCTTGAGGCGGAAGACAACAGCTATTTGAGTGGCTGTTATATCTCTTCTTTTGGTGAGTCCATGTTTATATGCTGTACATACTCAGGTACAGTATACGAGTATTTATATATAAATAAAAATTCTTAAACTTTAAATTACATGAGTGTAACATGGTACTACAGTGACCTAACCCTACCTAACCTAACTTAACATAAGCTGACATAACCTAACTTAACCTGACATCGCTGACATAACCTCATCATCACACCAGGGACTACTGCACCACCCGTCTGGTATTACAAAAGAAAAGCTATTTTTGTTATCTCCATTAATGGTAGCAACATTCATGACATGTTTTGTCCCTGCCTCTAACAGTCATTTAGTTAATTTGAGGAATAATTAATTAATAATGTCACAGAAGATGATACTGTTTACAGACCATCACTCTGTGTTTTATTTTTCCTTTGTGGTTCTCAACATATCATGTGCACTTACAGTGATTTATTTGCTTATACAGTATATATATATATATATATATATATATATATATATATATATATATATATATATATATATATATATATATATATATATATATATATATATATATATATATATATATATATGGTATTATGTCTACAGTACAATATCCATTACTGTATTATGACTACTGTACAGTACAATACAGTACTGTATATACCCTGAATTATCTAAATCATGAATAAATTAACCATCATAGATACTACTAGATAAGCAAATGTTGTATTCAGCCATAAAAGAAGGTTGGATGTAACCTCTCATTTAAGTAAAGTATGTTAGGTTTGTGTAGCAGCGTGAGCATGACACAGTCCATCCTACTGCTGCCGCTCTTCCTTGACTTCATCAGAGACACTGTGGGGGATCTAAGAGAACATGTGAGGCAGTGATGGTCTGTAAACAGTAAACTTTGCCAGTGGTGCCTCGTTCCATGCTCACCATAATCTCTCTGTGTTCTAGGATACTTATAAAATGGGGGATTACTATTTTGGTCAGTTATATTAGGTTGGTGCGTCTCATATAGTACTGGATAACAGAGTTTACTCTCAGTTTAGTAGGAATAGCTGCCCTAAATAACTGTATCCAGGTATTACTTCTCTTGAAACTGTACACTCACACACTCGAACATCACTAAAAGCATCTCTTTCACTTCAGCTTCCTCTCATAAGATTCTTGCCACATGTCAATTCAGTGTGATAAAAAATTTTATTTCTATTAATGTTTTCAGTTGAATTTGAATACTACACAGTATTGTATTGCATCTTAACTAGAATTAATGTTTTATAATCAAATGAATGTACAATACAATAGTACTTTACATTTACCCCAAATTAGACAGATTTTATTTATTTTTCAGCGAGTGGAAACAACGAGAGAGCATCTCACGTTGTTGTCATCACCTGTGCCGGGTCGCACCTCACCTCACCCATCGGTCGCATCAACAATGAGAAAAGAAGCGGCGGCCACAGTAGCAGTAGGAGTGTGTGGGTAGACCTGCAGACACAGCCTCATGTGATGCTTCAGTCTGTCACAATACTCCAGAAAAATGTTTCTCTGAGTGAAGTGAACCTCGTTCTTTACGACTCCCGGGAGATAAGCGAGTCGGAGCTCGTAGGTAAAAAGTTTCTCTACGAGGAAGAGAAAGACCACGGAAACGATATAGTGCCGTATTTTGTACACTGCGTCCAGCGAGAGAGTCGTGACCATGAAACACGGGTATCGAGGACGAGAGAAAGTTGGACTAAATTACTATTATTGATAATCAGATCATTCCTTGTCTTATCGTGGCTGCCAAAAATTGCTCTAGGAAGTCTACATTCAGTGTTAGTTAAGAGATTCGATTATTCAAGTAGCGCCCTGCAGCAGCTGCTTCTGCGGATCACTCAGATAGAGACGTTAGAAGAAGAGGTGAGAGAACAGAAGAGGACCTTACTAAGTGGCCGCCTGCTTACCATGATTGTTGTGGACATCTTGACAGGAATCACTGTTGCTTGCATCATCAGTCACTATGCTTCTGTAAATGACATATATACATATTTCTGTAGTTGGACAAAGGTTCGTTTATTTCCAGCATTTTTCGTTCTCTGTTTTTTTTTTTACCTTTTTATCATATCTATATCACAAATTCTGTTCAGTAATAACCCTTTCCACACCTATCTTATCCTATCATATCCTTTCCTATCCCATCCCATCCCTTTCCACACCTAACCTAACCCTTTCCACATCATTCATATCTCAGTTTTCTGTGAGTCAGGTCATTACTAATTAAACAGCATGCTATTAATAATGAAGGAATAATTTCAGATAGATGCCAGGATCAGGTTAGGTTAGAGGCCTTTGAAATGGTGTACAAGAATGTAAAACCAAAAACCAAAAAAATGACTATACTTTGGCCACATATATCAGCAGGTGTGAGTGGGTGGGTGTTGGTTAATATTTTGATGGTAGGTGGGAGGGACCAGGAGAGGCCTCACAACAGATACAGTAAGCATCATAACAGATACAGTAAGCTTCACAACAGATACAGTAAGCATCATAACAGATACAGTAAGCCTCACAACAGACGTAGTTTATTTTGCCGTATATGTTATTATAGAAACAGAAGTGGTACAGCATTTTGTGGGGGTCTGTGCCGACATTGTCCTGATGATTGTTGCCTTAACAGTTGTTGGCTGGGAGTGTTGAGCGTCTCCTGCAGTGGCTGAGTGGTGTACCGGCTGGACTTAAGCTCAACCAACCTCTCACACAAGCACTGTCTGCATTCTTCTCCTACCATGTTCATCTCTGGAGACTGTACTTGGGTAACTTAATACAGTACTGTAGTGATAAGCTTTGTTTATAATAATAATAATAATAATAATTAACTGTTTATTAAGATAACATGGCAGCCAGAAGGCCGAAAATATACAATAAACTGAGATAATAAGTTACATATGGTGAAGCTGGGGAGTGGGTTACTTGATTGACAAAAGCTTTCTGTACAAAAATATAAGAAACATGGAGTTAACATTAACTATAGATCTGGTACTGTGGGAGCTGGTCTTGTAGATAATCTTGTGACCTGATGTTGGTCCCCACTGTCTGGATGGCCGTTGTACCTGCCTGCTAAGCTGTTACCTCACTACAGCTGCAGATGTTTAGCACGTGGTCCGGGTAGGTCCTCCAGCTCACACAGGGTGTTGGAGATGGTTGGTGTTCTTCTTGTTCCTCACTTGGGTGGAGTGGGGAGTCCTCATTTCTCTCCTGATGTAGTTTTTCTTGGCTTCTCATCTAGTGTTGGTGATGGTGAGTGTATGGCGAACAGGTCCGTGTCAGGCCAACATTGACCGCTGAGCACGATTGTCGCTCTAACAGTTGTTTCTTTGTTTCAAGTTGAAATTGCCATTTTTGTATATCAGTTGTGGGTTAATCATCAATCTTCCACTGTACTGTTGGTGGGGGGTTGTTGATAAATCTCGATGGGGAGGAGGGAAAGGGAAAGCCGACAAACCAGGCTGGCAGCTGTCTCCATGGTCAAGAGACCACGGCCACGTGAGCAGGCAGCACCATCGTCCTCACCCTATGAAGGCTGAAGATGGTTAGTGTGTGTGTGTGTCCCGTTAACATAAGATTGAAAATAGAACAGGATTCAATTATTTTTAACTAGGGGATTAAGGTCACCCCTCCACCCTACACTGGCAACATTGTCTGCTTTGTACTGAATCCTGTTTGTTTTATGAGTTTTCAGACAAGCTTATAGGTCACTCTTATTTCGTTATTGTATTTCCTAAATCAAGTTTTGAGGACAACACCTGACTCTAACTACCTGCTTCCTGTACCTGTTGTCATAAAAAATGCATTAGCTAACACCTTCACTACAGGGGCGCCACTTTTATTTGTGAACGCCAGATGATCTTATTCATCACAGAGAGGACCCCATACACAAGTGGTTAATGATTGTTAGTGATTCATTATGTACAGGTACAGAATATGTTGTATATTTTTGGCCATTTTTACTACACTATACTGTAATGTAAATCCCCAATTTTGTTAAGGGCTTCCAAAATTTCATGAAATTCACAGCTCAGTTATTCCATTTTCTCTGTGTTGTGAGGATAACTAAAGTACAGTATTTCGTGTCACAGAACTGGCCGACCCGCTGTTGAGAAGTTTAGCCTGGGTGCTGGTATGGCTGGGGATGTGTGGAGCGTCGGTGCAAGTGGCCATTCTGTCGGACCTCTTAGACCTGGCCACCCTGCATCTCTACTGCTTCTATGTGTATGGTGCAAGGTGAGTGTGTGTGTCTATCTATCTGTGTTTATGTGTCTGTTGGTCTATCTGTGTGCATGCATGTGTGTGTGTGTGTGTAATAATAATAATAATAAACGGTTTATTAATAGAGTTGCAGCTGGTGGCTGAAAATATACAGACTTACATTTGATTGTGTGTGTGTGTGTGTGTAGAGATATATGCCTAATTTACTCATGGAAAGGAAGATTATGATTGGTTGAATGAAGGACGAATGAGAGATTTGAGTGGAGACCTGTCAGATTGTGTGTTGGTTAGGTTAGGTTAAGTGTGTAGGAAGTCTTATGTTTTGATGAAGGACTGTCACTAAACATCATTTGGCTCCCACACTGTTTTGTCAGAGGACGTGGCATGCCCAGTATCATCCTTCCCACACCATTTGGCAGCCAGATAAGAATACAATACAGTATTACATTCTTTACATCACCAGAACATTAGACTCCCTCCAGTTTCATTCACCAGATGATTAAATACAATAATGTGACCCTGGGGAGTAGTTTAGGTTAGGTTAGTATACAGCATTGGGTGGTTCAGGTGATATAAGGTGGGGTTAATCTTCAGGTGATATAAGATGGGGGTTAATCTTCAGGTGATCCCCAGTCTCTCAATATCCAGTTCATAAGAGGATGGTCTTATGACATGAAGTGTAGAAGGAGAGTTATTGCATCTGACTAAAGGTTTCACCAATGTAGCTATTAAATCTTTGGTGTATTTTGCCATTTGATTAGTGGAGGGACTTGCCAAGTATTATTGTATTGCAACCTAATTTTATAACCTATCTTAATCTTACCTAATTTTATAACACTATAAGTTTGCTTTATCACAGTGCTCAGACTTGCAAATTATTACAGAATACACATGTTGCAAATATCACTCCTCGGCTCTCAGTGGCGTGCATTTCGCGGCCGAAAGTGGAATCCTCTGAAGCAGCGAGTGGACAGTCACGACAAAGGGGGCCACGTATCCCTCACGAGGGTCCTGACAGCGGTGGTGTTTACGCTGGTCATATTCCTCCTACCAACCACTACCATCTACTACCTGGTGTTTGTCCTGGTAACTTGTTCCTTCTTCTTTATGATGTGTTTGTTATATTGTACCTCTGTGTCTTTCTGTCTTTCTGGTTTTGTGTGTGTTTGTAAGTTTGCTTCTAAAGATGCCATTTTTTGTGGCCAACCTGTGATAATAAGTTGTAGTTATTCATGAATTAAGTCCAACCACCAGTGTGTTCTGCAGCAGACCATAACTCTAGACTTAAACTTGGGTCCAAACCTTAATATGAAAGGTGAGAATCAATCCTTTGTTTCTTTACTCAGTTGAGAGTGGGACTGAACCTGATGCGAGGAGCGATGTCATTAACTGTGTGGCTCCTCAACATTAATCCACTGTACTTGGTCCTGCTCAACCTGTCTGCCTCCAACAGAGTGAAAGGTAAAGTTGTCTTATTGACTGAGGATTCCCTTGTACAGATCCCCCCAAAAGTATTATTAGCTATGGGGTCGATGTGATTTGAGGCTTTCCGAGCAATATTACTCGACCTGTTTCTGACGGCTGGTAGTTATAAATCCGCGACCTTTGAGCATGAATGAGTGTATCCATTTTTTAATTATATATATATACATTAATTTAGTTTAATAGATTTCTTGTTTTTGTTGATTTATCTAGTATGCCATACAAGGATGACTCCCTCCCCCAATCCTGCCCCATCTCTACCTGTTGTTGATATGGCAAGCCGGAGTACCAACTTATGATGAGGCACTGGGGATCATATCAATGCATTTTGTCTGGCGTTTCAGATTATAGTGATGGAAAATCTAACGATACTTTTTGGGGTACTGTACATCCCTGTTGTATTTAAAGCTGAGTTGCACCTCTATCCTCTGGGTTTTTATTCCTCCATTTTTTTGTTAGCTCTGAAGTTAGTCTATATATCAGACCTTTAATTTAGCTTTATTCCAACCTTCATGAACCGGCCTGTCTGTATACTGAGGCAGTGACACGGTCCTGCTAGATCAGCATCAGTTGCTACATAAATCTGTGGTATTTACTCAGCAAAGTTAAGGTTTAAGAATCAAATTTTGACCCCAATGTGCAGGACTACAGTGGTGGGTGGGTGGAGTTGACACACACAGCTATAAATTCTTAAGTAAAACACATCTTTGTCTGTAACTAAATTATACTGTATATAAATTTTTGATACATTCATAAAATAAAATGCTACATTTTATTATTGGTGATGTTGAGAAAGAAGTCTTGCAGTGTGGATGTTCTTGCAAGAGGGAAAGAGGAATACTGCATACAGGAGACTTACGAATGCCCGCCGATATTAACTGGGTTGAACTTGAAATTTACAGTATTTTATTTGCCTGATGACTTACCGGGTGCTTTATATGCTTTCATTTACTGTATTCTGTCTTTCTATTTCTTCTGTTTTCTTAAATTAAGTGATTTTAGATGTATATAAGGACTTAGGCTGTCCTATACGTAATGGGATTATTAAACATTATTTTGTAAGTACAGTACCGGTATGCATATAGCATGTGTTCCAACTTAAGAACGTCCTCAGGAACGGAACCTGTTCGTAACCCAGGGACCCCATTACTATATGTACTGTACAGTATATATATAATGTATTTAAGATTCCTCATTTTCTTTTCCTAGACCTATAGTCGACTTCTGTTCTCCCACGAGTAGTTGGGAAAGTAGTGCGATTAAAAGATAAATAGATGGATAAATAAGGGGATTTATAACACTTACGTTATAATGTAGAAGGATGAAAAGTGTACCGTATATCCATTGTTATTCAGGCATCTATAGAAGTATTTTAATCTCATATTTAACCTCTTTTCCAGGTGACATATACTTCTCAACTGTTTCTGCCCCGGAGGTTAACAAACACAGTGTATGTCCAGTCGCTGCCCCACTGGTCCTTCACCTACACACGTGGCCCACTGCCCTCAGTGAGGTGCTCGTACACGCCCACACTGATGACTTCCCTCCCAAGCCTTCACCAGACTGGAAGTTAATATTCTCAAGTATTATGTTTGGTGAAAATTTGTTGTAGGCATTGTAGAGTCTTGGACAAAAGTTGCCTCCCCATGGTGAAACCGGGTCACGAGAATGAGTCTCCAAACTTACTTACTTATCCTGACCGTCATCTGGTGAGGGTGTGCCGTCTTATCTTGTTTGGGATCAATACTGTTTCAGTTTGGGAGAGAGCAAACTTTTGACCCCAACTGTACAGTACATGGTATGATGTCAATTGGTTCAAGTTGTCGTGCTTCAGATAGTTTCAGTCTGTGGCACGAGGACGACACCTCCATGAGTACATTTGACTAAAACTCCTGTCTGATGTCTTTCTGATTTCCTTCTCAACTTTAAAAAAAAACTACGAAATTAAAAGTGTTTATTTTGCCAACAAAATCACCCCCCCCTCATTTCTCCTCACCCCCCATTTCTCCCTCACCCCATTTCCTCACCCCATTTCTCACCCCCATTTTCACCCATTTCCTCACCCCCATTTCCCCCCCCATTTCCTCACCCCCATTTTCCCCCATTTCTCCCTATGGATACCCAGTCATGTCGGTATCTTGGGGAATGAGACAGCAGATGGCCACACCTGACTACGTTATTCCTCGAACACTTTTACAACTTAGGAACCAAATTCGCCTCAAACAGAGAGAAGCCCGGGAAGCAGCCACCCTCCCTGCCCCTCTGGTATGATGTCCTCCGTAAACTTCCTGACCTCTCGTACGTCTATGGGAAAGGGTCGCGGAAAAGGGACGTGATTGCTGCCCGTATCATCACTGGGTATGACTTTGCTCGGGAGATTGGTATCCCCACATCCCCTGAGCAACGCTCTTGTGCATTATGCAGATGACCCTCAGTCAAGGACACCAGGGCTACCACCATAACACAGGACCAGTTCACACATTCCACTATCCCTGGACCAGTACACACATTCCACTATCCCTGGACCAGTACACACATTCCACTATCCCTGGACCAGTACACATATTCCACTATCCCTGGACCAGTACACATATTCCACTATCCCTGGACCAGTACACACATTCCACTATCCCTGGACCAGTACACATATTCCACTATCCCTGACAGTACACATATTCCACTATCCCTGACCAGTACACATATTCCACTATCCC